AATATAATACGGAAGCACATGGGCTTTTATACATCCCTACATTAACTGCCATTTCAAGGATTTGCATGTGTTTTTTGTGCGAAGTCACCATGAGGGTCATTTCATGCGTTGTGACGGAATAAGCAATAAAATACACTTATGCGTACAAATGCAGTTGTTTGATGGTAATCTTCATTAATTACGTGTATCATTTCAATACATTCGAATAAAATTTAGTTTGAAGCAATAACTTCATTCAAACGAATTTTTTTCATATCTGAGGACAGGGGTTGCGTTTCTTTTTGACAGAGTTTATTATGCATTAATTGAAATGTTACTAAGTACAATGAATTTATGGACTTGACAAAGATATTTTCATTTATAGTTTGTGTCAGACTAAGGCTGCCGTACAGAATGGTGTTAATATCTAACTAACTTTTAGGATTTCAAAGCCTTGTATCAAATCACACCGGCAGCTGGCATACTTTGGACATTTTAATAAGAAATGATCTTCCACCAGAGCACCACAAAGGCAAACTTTACTTTCAGATAAATTGATACGAAAAAAAACCAGCATTCAAAGAACTACATGAGTGTCTTAACTTAGTGTGTAGAATACCAATCTTCCTTTCACCAAATAGAAGATATACTCATGCCAATAATGGTTGTCACCCCCCTCCCCTCCCCAACCCCACACACACCTCACACCCACACCCCACACTCCCTCTCCAATTAAAAAAAACTTGAAGGGGTGACAACTATTATTGGCATGAGTATATTTAGGAATTTTATCATTTTTTTCAGATAATTTAAATTTAAATGATGGTAATGACATTTTATTGTGGAGAAGAGATTGTTTCATAAATAAGCACAATCATAGATAAATGACTTTTGGAGAACTGTGGTTCGAAACTTTGGAATAGCCAAATAAAACGTGTTACGCAAATTGTATTGAGAAATAGTTTCAGTAGATGGTGGGAGAAAGTCTAAAAGATAATCAGGAGTTTGCATGTTAACAATTTTGTAAAACGTTCAAAGTTTCTTATGTGTACGTATAACATTTAAAGGTAAATAACCAGTTTCACTGTACAAACTAGCTCTTGAAGCGAATTTTGGCAGACCGGATACAATTTTGCTGCTTCAAGCTGAACCATTTCAAGTTTATTACAAATATCTGCGGGACAATTATCCCAGACCACAGAGTCATATTCTAAGATAGGTCTACAGCAAGCATCCCATACATGCTTGATATAATATTTCCAGGTAGGACGTACTTTAACGCCCGTAATGAGGAAACTATTTTAGCGGCCTTTTCTATTACAGCAGTTACACGATGAGACCACTTTGTATTGTCCGATAAGTTAACACTAAGATGTTTATGTTGATGTACACACTCCAAATCTTCATTATTGAAGATCAAGTGAGGAACTTGTGGACAATATCCATGGTTGAAAAGCATAAATTTGGTCAAGTTAGGGTTAAACTTAACTAATCACTTTTCTGCCCATTTATTCAGTTGGGCTAAACCATAGTTGAGAGTAGCTTCTATCGATGTTACATCTTTTCCGCAACACCGATTGATGAGTCATCGGCAACATTCTTGTGATATTTTTTTAATTTCAGGTAAAACACTGATATGTACAAGGAACAAAAATGGACCAAGGATAGATCCTTGAGGAACCCCTCAATAACATTTAGTTCTTTTGATAATGTTCCATTCACAAAGACACACTGTCGTCTATCATATAGATAGTTAGTAAACCAACAAAGTGCGTTTCCACGAACACCATAATTTTTTAATTTGTGCAATACACCTTTATGCCAAACCCTGTCAAAAGCTTTTGAAATATCACAAAATATCATACAGTAAAGGTGGCGATTATCTAGGGCTGAGCATATATTATGATAAATTTCTATGAGTTGAGATGTAGTAGAATGATTAGCAGTAAAACCTTACTGGAACAGGTGGCATTTGAACATTTGAAACAGAAACAAAATATTCATTTAATGTTTGAGCTTTATTCAAATCTGTAAAAACTGAAGGTATCCCAGAATCATCAGTTACTGGAGGGGTAATGGGTCCCAATGAAGTAGTACCTTTCAACAAACATTTAAAGATATTCCAATACCCACCTGATTGAGTACACTGAGATGATAAAAAGTGATTTAAATTAGAATAAAAGTTTTCCTTGGCCATTCTTTTCGGATTATTTACTTTATTCCTTGGCTTTTTGTATTTAAATAGGTCAGAAGTATTCAGAAATCGAAATGGCTTTTTCCTTTAATGTTCTCTTTTTCTAATTTCTCTTCGAAGTTCACTGTCAAACCAAGGTTTGTCTTTAGGTCCTATAGTAACATTCTGTGGTTGAATACGTTTAACTATGTATTATTTAGCCAATGAAGTATATATATTACACAAGCTTCATTAGCATTGGAAGTTTTTGATAATATACTCTCCCAATTAGTTTCCTTTATCAAGTTCTTTAAAGTATCATAACATACATTCTACAGCTATATAACAATGACAAAATATAATCGGATAAAACTGGGATACGGGGGTCAAGGGAAGCAACTCTGCACAGCGCCATGCGGCATCTCAGAGGACTGGTCAACAGTGCCCCTTTATAGAAAAAGTATGGATAAAGCTAGTTTTAGTTAGAACATAAAACAGGGATGCTAATTCATCAAAGCTGCATTATTGATCCCAGAATGTATATGTCATCCATAACACTTGTCATGTATCCATGTTCGTCCAACTTCTAAATGCCTTTCAAGAACCACCTAACTACGAAGGATGTATTTTGCACTCTTAACAGTTTACACTCTCATGCTTACAGGCCGTGTATGAACCAAATAAAAAATCCCAAGCAAAACATTCGTGCTGGGGTCGATGTGACGACGTATTCTCTGTTGATGAAATCGGACAAAACTGGTTACCGCGCTTCAACGAGTATCTCCACGAAGGAAAATGCTTGGTATGATCATTGATGGTCGACGACCCATCCCCTGAAACCAACGCAGAGTTGGGACTACATCTTGTAATGAACTAGGTATGACACAAGTATCAGTGCTCTGGGTTCTGGGTTCTGAACTCATATGAACCCATCCTCATGTATTCAGCACCTTATCACCTCTTGAAGAAGGGACTGCCTGACCAGCATCATGGAATGGTGATGACGTCCTCCCTGTTGCTGTAGGCTACTTCTAACACCACCAGTAAGAAGCTTTCCTCATCGTCGGGATGGAGGTTCATTGGCATCGGTCGTTGGCAGAAGTGTTTGAAACTCTCAGGAGAACACGTTGATAATCATTTCGGATACGTTCAGGCCTCTCAGCCACCGATCGTATGTCTGTGCCCACAGAAACCCATATATTTCATACATATGAGTAATATTTAGAATACGTTTCGAGTATTTCTGAGAAATCATGGAGTACGTACCTGTCCTTGTGGTTTAACGAAGGCCATGAGACGTACTGATTCCTTGTAGGTCGTAGAGTATTCTATAAATCTGTGATAGTACGTACGATAATTAATTGAAATATGTATACTACACTCACAACTATTTACAAGTTTTAAAATTAAATATTTGCATAACGATGTTTCTATAATAATAATATTCACAAAATCCATTGAAGACAAACATCGTTCACCAAAGAAGCTGTATTGTTAGGGAAATACTGCTTTGACTAAACACATATTGTTTGCCCCACCCTTCCTGATAAACCATATTTTTCAACTACAGATGATTGTTACATCTGTTCAAGGCATTGACCCCGATCGTTCTATGTGTTCCAAATCTTACATAAATGTATCCATTTACATATTCTTGCCCATGCAAAATTCAGTTCCTATCCCAGAAATCGACCTTTTATATAACAAACATTGAAACGCGACACCTTAAATGTATTCCACTGCGTTTGTCGCCAATAGTACTCACTGTGGAAAGTACATGCCCTTGAACTCGACTAAATGAATCACTCTTTGGGCCAACTTTATGTAAGGTGGTGACAATACCATGCCCACAGCTTATATAACATGCATACTGAAACGATAATGGATTGAATAAGGGAAGATATTGTCATGCACTGAAAGAGCATGTGAGGCAGGTTCGATCTTGAAACGTATCCGGGTGTAATACTCGTAGGTTAGAGTACGTGTCATTCGCTTTGGCGTTGTTCGTTCATGTAAATGTTATCAATAATGAACGATGAATGCTCTTTTCTTGCTAAAAGGTACGTGTCCTGTTATTCTGCAGCAAAAAAAAAGCAAAGTAAAAATCACGAAAACATGAGTTAGTTACCGGAGATTTTAAAAAATGTTTCTGTCAAAGAAGCTGGATATTTGTACATAAAATGACATATAGATTTTGATAGGGTAACTGAAATCTAAATGTCCTATAATCACACGTTTTGTAAATGTTCAAGGGAAATTATTAGTAATATGTAATTTCAGTTTTTGTTTCTACTTTGCATCACATGACGCCACCATCTGGAACATCTACAGCAACATCCATTGTTCTTGTATCCATGGTGACGAAGACAAACGTCATGTCTGGGGCACATAAAGACATTCACAAAATGATGACACCACACAAATTGTTCTACATGTTTCATATTTTTCTTCTGGAAAAAGTGATTACCGACCATCCTGAAATTATACAAACACTTCGGCTATAACCCACTAAAAATGACCACTAATTTAAAGCAGTTCGTTATAAAAGTACTTATCTGTATACTACTAGTAACTGTATGGGGCACTACAAAAGATGGTTTTGCTATTCAAGAGAGGTGTAAACCCTCTGGATGTTGTGGTGTTGCAGCTAACAAGTCAGTGAAAACCCAGTATATGGTGGGACTAATTTGAGAACAGAATCATCACCTGCTATCATACCCCAAAACGTGAATCCTTGTTTGTACCACTAACAACTGGTGCCAGATATCTCAAATATTGGTGACGCGGCACAAAACGACATACACTCACTCACACATACTGTTTAAAACACGTCCACGAAGCTCCCGTAAAATGTTACAATATTTTATTGCTGTTCAATGTACAGTACTGATATGATATTTTTACAAAAGAGTCAATAGCAATGATGTTTTTATTCATACAACATTGACAAGACAAAAATGGTAACCACAGTCATATTTTTGTTTTATCATGAAACTATCCAATTGTTTGTCTTTTATCAGCTTAGTGTGGCAAAGTATTGGCATAAAGGAAGAAGTTATAAACGACAGAAAATTACGCTGAACAATGTGCTAAAATAATCCTACTATAGAACAGAAAAACGTTGTTAAATGTTTCTAAACAATTATAAGTAAACAAAGGAAATAAACAAAAAAAACGCCCAAACTAGAGAATAATCAAACTCGATTATCTACTGAAACAAAACTGTAGCTGAACATTCAAACACTTCAGTCTTCATTTATAAGATTTTCACCACAAATATATTTCAAGTGTCTGAATTTGACATGGTTTATCAAAGTACTAATTGTCTAATTCATCAAAGTGAATTTACTAATTTCTTCTATAAAAACTAATCTCCATGCAGTTGAGTCGTATTGCACAAATGTGGAAGGTAAATGGAAACACATACTTATCTCATTACAAAAAAATAGAGACAAAACTTAAGAAGTGATTCCTGATATTGGTAAAAGTACAGTTCACCATAATTTTATATTAACAAACAAAAAATATTAATTATGTTTTCAAGTGATCTCACTTTTCTGGGCAATTGCAGTATCCTTATAAGTATTGACAGGCCACCATTATATAGGACAAGGAACAATACACTGATACTGATTGAGCAAGAATGAAAGTTAGCTACAGTAACAGTTGTACAATACACCCCTGACCCCCAACCCCTGACACCTTTGTTCAGGCTGTTCACCTCCCAGCCTCCAACCTATGCTGCATAGGGCTTAGAAAGCCTTTCTGACAGCTGTTAGGGCCTCCTTACAGAGGTCATCCAGTCCACCATCTCCACCTGGACAAAACAGAGAGGAGGTATAATTACATGGAACATGAGTGAGGGACATTAAAATAATAATGCTATGAATATTTTCAGTCCTGTCGTAGTCTGACAGTAACGTGAGGAACCTGGAAAGGATGGAAATTTCGATGATAACCAGTTTGTCAAAAGCCACTGACAAGGAATGTGTAACTACATCAACCATCACAAATGGGGAATAATCAGGACCACTGTATCCTGAATACCCATGGCGTTTGGGATAAATGAAGATACAAAGTAACCCAAAGTGCTTAGCAATGCTTATTATTATGTTAAATATGTTCGTAGAAAACATGCATTATACTTATACGATAGCAATATATAAGATCTCTGTTAGAATAACTGTTTGACATATAAATTATTCTGATAATGGAACAGAAATTCTTGGATGTTATATTTTCGGATCGTTTTTAACTGAATCACCAGTACATTGGACCAAAACAATGATGTGTGCCCAGCTGATTGCTATTTCCGGCTTAGATGAATAACAGGTAGCATGACAGGAACAACAATTGAATTATCATGTCTTGTGATCTTTGATTGCAAGTTTCAAGTACATACATCTATTTTTGATTTACAAAGTTTTGTTTTTTTTCACCTCCAACAATACGATATAGTTTTGACTGGGCACAATACATGAAATAGCAGTTTTGTTATGTTTTTACTTGGCCTTTGTTCCGCGTTATGTAATCGTTACTATAACGCGGGTGTCTAATAACGCGAGAGGTCATCCATGGACCCCAAGACCCGCGTTATGGCGAGGGATGCCGGTATAACATTGTTTATTAATTAAAGTTTTATTAATTTTCATAATAAATATAGTTTCATAATAAGTATAGATTGTATGTCAACATTGTGTTTGGAGGTAGCATTGTACATTGTGCAACAGTGTTTCTGACTGACTGTGGAGTTAGTGAGGGGCTGGTTCTGTGCTATATTTAGACTTATGCTATCGTAGGAGGTGACTAACGGGATCAGGTGGTCAGGCTTGTCGACTTGGATGACAAATGTCATCGTGTCCCAGTTTTGTAGATTGATGCTCATACTGTTGATCATGGTAGCACTTTGTCAAATGTGTTATGAATATGAAAAATGAATGCCGTAGCCTCCATCAGATACTTGAAGAGCAGACTTACCATGGTCCAAATCTCGGATGTCACATTTGTAAATTAGTTCTCCATTAACGTAAACTTCCACAGTGTTGCGGTCATCTATCTTTACCAGTTGACTGCTGTGTCCATCATTTCTCAATACAGCTGAAACATGAAGTAAACATAATGGCTAGTTGATGGCAGAAACTGACCCAGTAAACATAATGGCTAGTTGATGGCAGAAACTGACCCAGTAAACATAATGGCTAACTTCTTTGAGTGGCATTTTAGAAGTTGGGAAGTACAATATGGAACAAACTTTATGGATAACAACTTCTTTTGATTCGTGAGTGCGACGTTTCGATACAGATTCTTGTACCGTTGTCAAGCATAATGGGACATGAAGAGGGGGGAAGTGTATATATACTGGATGTGACAATATGACAAAGAAAACAACATAATTAACATAATTGGCTAGGCAGAAGGCTGATGAAGCCAGAGAGTAGACAAAGGACAGGCGTAGAAGCCAATGATGTACAAATGATAATGACATGTTTATACAGCAGTGAGTTTATACAGTGGATTGGGCTTGGTGGATGAGTGCATCATAAGCGGATGGAATGAAGTATCCTTGGTCTCGGTTGATGGTGGGCTTTTGGCGTTTGATGTGGATGGCTTGGTGAGCTTGCGTTTAGTGAAGTCTGTTTGTTTGTTAGAGAGAATGGTGATGTCAGACCACTCTATTTGATGATTGGGGCTTGCTTTGATGTGGTCGGAAATGGCTGATTTGCTGTCGGAATTGGTAACAGAGGTCTGATGTTCTTTCACTCGGGTGTTGATGGGTCGGGAAGTTTCGCCTATGTAGCTCTGCCCACAATCACAGTTTATTTTGTAGATGACACATTTTGGGTTGTTGTTCTTTACGGTGGCGGGTTTTCTTCCATTGGCATGGAGAACGTTGTTAAGGTTGGAGGACGCGGAGAAGGTGGTATCTATGCCAGCTTGATCTTTCAGGAGGCGGCTGATTTGATGTGACGGTTTGCCAATGTAGGGGATGGATATCTTGATGGGGGCTAAATCTTGTCTCTCTAACAAACAAACAGACTTCACTAAACGCAAGCTCACCGAAGCCATCCACATCAAACGCCAAAAGCCCACCATCAACCGAGACCAAGGATACTTCATTCCATCCGCTTATGATGCACTCATCCACCAAGCCCAATCCACTGTATAAACTCACTGCTGTATAAACATGTCATTATCATTTGTACATCATTGGCTTCTACGCCTGTCTACTCTCTGGCTTCATCAGCCTTCTGCCTAGCCAATTATGTTAATTATGTTGTTTTCTTTGTCACATTGTCACATCCCAGTATATATACACTTCCCCCCTCTTCATGTCCCATTATGCTTGACAACGGTACAAGAATCTGTATCGAAACGTCGCACTCACGAATCAAAAGAAGTTGTTATCCATAAAGTTTGTTCCATAACATAATGGCTAGTTGATGGCAGAAACTGATCCAGTAACTTTAGCCTGGGTTTTACCTTGACCTCCAAAAGTGGGGTCCAGTGGATCCTATAGAATCAATTTTAAGGGTCCTTGGATGTAATATATATAAAGGTCATGTAATACTAGTATACTATATTAATATGTACTATATGTTTAGTGAACTACCTCAGCCTGGCATGAATCATGATCGTGTGGACAGTGGTCATGATTGATGGGTGAAATGACAGACACCCGTAACCATTCTGGTGATCACCATAACTACTCTTGGTGCGATATAGGGAAAACTGACAGTATTTTTGTCTCAGAATGCAGTGTTTTTGTTTTTCTGCATCAATTCTCTACCTTTGTGGATACTGGACAACACATATGCGCATCCTTGAAGCCCTGCTAAGCCTTCACGTGCCACAAATCAAGATGTAGACTGATACCCAGTCTATATAGTTTGATAGAAAAAGGCTTTTGCAGCACAGACCCTCGTGTCTTTGCAAGGATTAGAGATTTTTAAAAAATATTAAAAAATGGGGATGACCCCCAACTTGAAATGCTTCCCAGTACAATAAATCATGATGTATTGTACTTTGAAGCATTTTGATTCTGGGATTATCTCATAAATTAATTTTTTTCCAATGTGATCCTCACAAAGACATGAGGGCCTGCGTTTTGCAGTACAGAAAGAGCTAAGCAGAAGGGAAACTGATCTAGTGCTGGGCCCGTTTCACAAAGCGATTGTAGGGCTAAGGTGATCGTAACTCCCATACTTTAACATTATCATAAGACTTACGACAGTTGTAGGGCAACGATTGCTTTGTGAAACGGGCCCCTGGTTCCCTGAGACAATCTAATCCTGATGCTTAAAGGTCACATGCAACGTAAAACACAACTTTGCAGATTCTGATACCTTTCGGTATGGACATACCGAAACAAATCGTCAAAAATGCAAATTCAACTTAGAAAGTTGAAAAATAACGCGATGAAAAAAAACGCGCGAAATCGGAGTTCAAACGTTTCACTAATTTTCCCCAGACTTTTCTGGGGAAAACGGGTTTCAACAGCTGGGCTGCGCTCATAGCACGTGCGCAAGTAAATAGGTTGGCGCAACTTGGAAGCGGGTTGTCGGGTGAATATTTTTCTAATGTTTTGTTGATATCTCACAGGCGCGAGCTTTTTATATGTTATGACAGTAAATTAACTGTTTATATAATTTCATTTGTCTATTTCACCACACGTTCTTCTCACCGAGTCACTTTCTCAGTTCGATACTTAAAAGCAATGTCATTATTTAGCGTTGACAGAATTTCTAACTGTGATATAGATATGTCGTTGTCACAGACAAAACTTAATGTCTTGTTTTATTGACACCTGTGTGTCTGCCTGCCTGTCTGCTAATGACAATATTCAATACACAGCTGCTATCACTGACCACATGCAATTTGAACTTAACACCAATCAGGCTATACACCATAAACAAAATGCATTGATTTATGGCCCGAGTTCGGTCTCTGTCACATTATGTAATTACACAGACAGGCAGGTGTGATACTTGAACACATGACATGTTATGATGTCTGTTGATTGCAAAATGTTATACACAAAAAATGAGCATGTATTTACAAAACGCAACATCTCTCTATATATATACACACAATTAGCCGTGAAGGCATCTACAACCTGCATCTGCAACCAGCCGTTACACTTGAGTGCACACCCACCCGCTCTGACTGGGTTCGGTATCCCGGCTGCTTCGTTTCTTGGGAAGTAAACCGAAGTACACAATTTTGCACTTTCGATTTGCGATTGTACGCTTATAATTTTGTTTATATATTTTTTCGTAACCAGCAATGTATAATATATGTCATGAATAAGTGATAATTGTGTTTTAATTATATTTGATTTTTTGGTTGCATGTGACCTGTAAGTATACAGCTTGTATACAACACTAGGCCAAAAAAAATAAATGTTGTGGTTCCTATTTCCTACATTTCAGAACTAGGGTAGGTAGGTAGGGGTTGTTGGTTTTTTTGCAAAATATTTTTACATTACTCAGATTACTCATGTGTCAGAAAATAAATTTAATTTATTATGAGGTGAGTAAAATTGTTAGGCTCGGCGGGAATATTTAGGGTCGGTCGGGAAATCGGAACCACAACCTATTTTTTTTAGGCCCTATGGGTAAAGTAGACCCCAGTACCCCATGCTGGGGTGGTGTTGACTATAAGGGGGTCTGGGGTCACAATAGGACTTATTGTTTTAGTTAAACTTTCAAACATCTTGAAGGAAATAATTTAATAAATTTAATTCTAGTTTTACCTTAATGAATCATGAAATAATTGTGTTCCTAGTATAAATTTTTAAATTTGTTATCATCCTGAACATTAAATGATTAAATGAACCAATATGAGTTACAGCTGTGGAGCAGGCTATCTGTTATTGTATACCAGATTGTGTGAACAGAGCAAAGACAGCTATTATGATTTGGTTGTTGTTTCATGCTGCACTCAACAACATTCCAGCTACTTGACAACGGTCTGTAAATACTCCAGACAATCAGGCGGTTGACATGATGAGCATCAATCTAGGCATATGATGACATACATCAACTCAGTCTTGTTAGTCAGCTCTTATGACAAGCTTGGATTGTTGAAGATCAGTTCTAACTAGGGTCTTCACGGGTTCAGCTGTTGTGATGCGGGAAATAGTTCTGATATCGTAAAACAACTTTCACTCATTCATCTAAATCAATTCAGAAACTTCAAAGCATTCAGAATTCAGCGGCCGGATGTATCTCCCGTTCTTCCCGCTATGACCATATCTCTTCAGTCACTTCACTGGTTTCCCATCTCTGCAAGAATCACCTTCAAACTCCTCGCCCTCACTCACGACTGTCTCTACAATAAAAACTTTCCATCCTATCTCAAAGAACTTATCCTCCAGTGACTCTCTCTTGACTCAACCAAAATCACTAAAAGGACTTTTTGAACGCGCTTTCTCTTTCGTCAGCCCACAACTCTGGAATTCGTTCCCCAAAACCTCAGAAATACAACCACTAAAGACACCTTTAAATCACAGCTTAAGACTCACCTATTTCTATCCGTGTACCAGTAGATAATCATTCTCTGTTTTATGTATACAGTGGACTCTGTCAATACCGGCCTCTCTTAACACCGGCACTCTGTCTACATCGGCACAAAGTTTCAGTCCCGGCAGAAATGCACGTTATCATCATTTAGAAACTTCTGTAAACATCGGCATCTGTCTATTCGGGATATCGGCATTGTTTTTCAGTCCCAACGAACAAGTTGTTATGGAAACGAATCTGTAAAAACCGGCACATGAAAGACGGCGTAACCCTTTGATGCAATTAGGTCCAAATGATGTAACAACACAATTCGCTGTGACTCCCGAGATTATTCAGAAACGGGAAGTGTTAATCAGTATCTTGTTAATCAGTGGGTAGTACGTAACACTTACCCAGAGTAATTAATACATGTAGTGGGCAGTTTGACTGTATAAACAAGCAAGTGTTTACATTTTGTTGATTCGCGGGTATTGACTCCCGAGATTATTCAGAAACGGGAAGTGTCAATCAGTTTCTTGTTAATTAGTGAGTGGCACGTGTCACTTACATAGAGGCGAATCGTGATGGCGGGTATCGTTCGAGATAGTTTATAATTTTAATTCTGCCGATAATATATGATCAGTTGAAATTTAATAAGAGATTTCAGACATTTTTATTTGATTTAAACAACATGAATGTGCATTCAGACACTGCCTTGTTTCTTATTCAAACATCTTGTTAATGCTAAAGTGACAGTACGACAGCGAACTTCCGTGTGCGCAGGCGTCATAAGCAAACCTAGCTAAACCGGCACTCTGTCAAAACCGGCATTTTAATTTGGTCCCGACTGATGCCGGTATTGACAGAGTACACTGTACATGTTCAGTTTTATCACTGTATTAGCCCCTCTGAGCATCTGTAAGGTGGGTATTACAAATGTATTATTATTATTATTGAATGAAAATGACACAATTTATGACAAAATGAAATGCTGGTGAATCAATTTAAGGAGTACTCACTTCGTAGACCTTCTAGTCTAGTCTCTCTGTGTTCCACGATCCCATTAGCCTCGTAAGGGCCATAATTAATGAATACTTTGGCATGGGCTGGCATTTCCTGAAAAAATAAAAATAATAGAAACATTTTATTGGAATATTATTAATGAAGAAGAAAAAGAATAATAACAGTGTGAGAATCAAAGTTGAAGATAGTTTTAGTTGAAGACTCAAACAGATGGAAATTCATGAGTGTTTCCCTGCTGTAGATGATGTCTCCAAATCAAAGAGATCATATGGTGTTCTGATAAATATTGAAATGTCTGGCAACTTTTGTGTTTTGCAGCACACCCATAGCACCTATATGTTGATCTTCAGAACACTGTGTCATTGTGTAAGCATAAAGAGGACTTTACAGACATGAAATCAGTGTGTTTTGTTCACATTCAAACACCATGTCAGTATGATGTTCCGAACAAGCTAACAAAATCCAACTTTGAATCATATCCTTAAAGCATGTCTGTAAAGTCAAGGAGATGTCTCCATCAGTATGTTTTTTTGCAGCAATGTTGATACATTGAGACATATGGGCGTATATTTCATGAAATTATTTTTTTGATTTGGAGGGTAGTTACAACTACCCAGTATGCTAAAATGAAGTTATCTGATGCTATTCATTATTTTCTTACCCTTTGTGCATTCACAGAATTCCCAAGCTTTAAATTTGATTTTAATTTTTCATGGGCATATATTTCATGAAATTATTTTGTGGATTTGGTGGGTAGTAACAGCTATGATAAAAGGAAGTTATCTGATGCTATTCATTATTTTCTTACATCTACCCTTTGTGCATTCACGGAATTCCCAAGCTTTAATTTTGATTTTAACTTTCATATGAAAACTTTTGATCTTTTCCTTTTGACTTGATAAATGTGAGAAACATTGCTTCAGCAATTTTTCCTGATACCACAGTAGTAGACATGCAACAGAGGGTGCATTTAGCAAGAATAAACATTGCTCTTGACATACTGCACAATACAAGAATAAAGCATACGGGTTCATGGATAACAACTTCTTGTTTATTGCACAGAGTGACGTTTTGAGCTCATTGGCTTCATGGTTTATTACTGACTCACCAACTTCTAGAATGACGATCAAACAATTATCGCAGTAAGAATACAAGAAACAAATGTACTCAATATCAGCACATTGAAAAATCTACAGGTCCTTTTGGATCTCTACAAGTATAATCATCCTTAGTAATTTATCATGTGTCATTAATTAATTGTGGTTTAGTTGTATTGTTACAGTAGACTGTAAGAGATTTTATGTAAAGTAACAAGCATTAGAGAACACCTACAAGTCCCATTTTAGCATTGTTGAAAACGCACAACAGAAACCCATAGACCCTAAGTAGCCTGGTGGATGACAAAACTCAGACCTGTGAAGATCCGGGTTGGAATTAGTCTGCAGAAACCCATGCTTGTCGTAAGAGGTGACTAATGGGATCGATTGGTCAGACTCGCTGACTTGGTTGACACATGTCATCGTATCCCAATTGTGTAGATTGATGCGCATGCTGTTCATCACTAGATTGTCTGGTCCAGACTTGATTATTTACACACTGCTGCCATATAGCTGGAATATTGCTGAGGGCGGCGTTACACACCAAACCAACCAAACAAAACTCAATTGACCACTTGTGTGAAATGCCGTTGAAGAAATGTGACATTGTGCTGTGACAATGAGAGATCGGAATACTATAAGTGATGTGCTAAAATATAGTTGAAAGATGGTAATAAAAATCAGTGTTACCAATACATAATGCATAAATACTAGTGTTGGGAATTGTTTAAAATCCCAGAATTGATGATTGGTACATTACAACCGATCAATCATCGAAATAATTGGTTAGCGTCATTTATTAAATTCTCCTGGTTATGTTTGTTAATACACAAAAATATATTAAAAAACATGTAGTTCTTTCAGTTTCTATTTTTTTTTATTTTTGCAAATTGCACAAAATGCATTTACAAATTTCACAGCTTTAAAGGAACATACATTTCCTCTTTAAGATAAATTCAGTCAACAAGCTTGTAGTGCTTATGAAATGTAACAGACAAAACCAACCTTGTGAAATATATTGTTATTGCAAACAAGTGTTCCAAAATTGTTTGTTTTCGATTATTATCGGACCACCACTAATAAATACTACAGTAGAAATTGTTTTTATCAATATCATAATTATGAGGTGACATTTTTGCTTGACATTAATGATTAAGCTGCTGTTTCCCCACATGCTTTACGCCTGTACAGTCTTGTGTGGCCTATCCACCCTCCTTGTGTTTTCTCGTCTGCTTAAAACTGATTTGAACAATATTAGATCCATGTGTGAAAATATCAATAAATAGGGTAAAAGCAAAATAAAGAAAGTGGATGCTAATAAAGCACGGTGTAGAGAATGATTTGACTTGGAAATTGTATGAATGTAACATTTCCCCCAAATCTATAGTTCATATTAGATTTGTGCTGAGTAAGTCTCAGTCCCCAACTATTTCCCCTGGGACATGTGTACTCATGACAGGTGAGTAAACAGTGTGTGCAACCTTTAACTAAGCAATAAGTAGTTAGCTAGTTCATTGTTCACTTCTTTGGGCGTGTCGACAGTTGGCCCTTCTTCGGCTCAGAAAGCGTGTGCTTCGAATCCCATCATGAGACTAGGAATTGTAAAAACCACTGCACTGCCATCATTGTACCTAGATACATTACATTGGGATATATTAGATAATTTGCACTTAAAAACACTGGCATTATTAATTCGATAGATAGTAACCGGCGGCGAGAAGTTTACTGACTACAATCCATGTTGCCTCCCTTTCAACAAACACCCAAAACCTTCAAACAAGCATCTTATACAATACTCACAAACGTTTTCTAGCCTAAAACAGACACCTTTCAAAACCCGAACTGCAGGGAGCTCTAGTTTCTAGGGAAGCTGGACTGACTCGCACTAAATTAATTGACAACTTCCGGTTAGTTGTCGTCCATTTCTGTCGTTATAATAAAATATCCTCTTCACATATTACTGAGTTATTGTATTCAGCGGCTTCGAATTTCATCTGTTATGATCTGATATATCATAAGAATTGTTGATATAATAGATCTATTACCTAACATTTTCCGTTAACGCGGTCCTTCAAAATGGCGTCGAGGGGGATTTTTCGTCAGCTTCAGAAAGCGCAGAAGTCAATTGTGAGGTAATTAGTTAAAGAAAATAAGCCTGTTTGCATGATACTATTAACATGTAGAATATCATGAATATGTCCTGTTTTCTTACGTTACAGGACTAAGACCAAAATATCAATAGTCGGCGTTCTAGTTCATTAGATTCCACTGTCGGTCATGCTGTCCTACACCATCGCGACTCTCGGCTTCCAAAACACGGTCTACACTCTAACATGTGTCTCTCAAATAACACGTGTCTAACATTTACAATGCGGCGAGACTGTGGGTCGTAATGGCAATGTATGCCCGTATCTGCATGCTCTGGAAAATACTGTCAACTGACTTTCATGGAATATTAATTTAATACTTATGTTATAGCTCACACACACACACACACACACAGAGAGAGAGAGAGAGAGAGAGAGAGAGAGAGAGAGAGAGAGAGAGAGAGAGAGAGAGACACAGAGAGAGAGAGAGACGAACACACACACGAACATATACATGAACATATAATGTATAACCTTAAGTAGGTTCGTTTTTGATTGGCTGTTACTAAAACATTAGGGAGTACTGCACTTTACCGGGCGCACTGTTTCAGATTAATGGGGTTCCCTAACCCCTAACCCTAAGGATCGTAAAGGGTGCCTAACCCTAAACCCTAACCCTAAGGATCGTAAAGGGTGGCATACCCTAACCCTAAACCTAAGGATCGTAAAGGGAGCAGCGAGGGCTGCGCCTGGTAAAGTGCATTCTAGCCAAATATTAGTAGTGAAAAAATGCTATTTAGCAGCGTTCAACCAACTATAATCACTTCCAAAGTAAACACTATAGGATTATCTTCTAATTGACTCTGTCATGCTTATCACCATGTTAAAAAGAGTGTTTTTCATTTGTTAACTGACATTCAAACCACGTTGATGGTTTGGTTTGTTATCAAACATTCACATTCTCCAAGACTTTTAGACTCAACTGGTATAGCAGTTATTAGCATCACTTTTCATGCTTATCATCCAGGAGGTTGCATTGATTTATCAGTGAATGTTCAGTTATGTGTTTCAAAGCATTAAATTATACACTCAGTAGATTTATCTTCCATCTCATGTGATAAGAGTGAACGATACCATTGTCATTTTTGGGAATGGATAATATGGTGGTATCTTGATTTTGTTCCATTTAAGGTTCTCTGTTACTTGATTTGATTTTGTTTCTTGCTGTGTGTAGTTGGTGCTGTGTATTTTAGCTCTGCACGAGTGTCTGTGAGCCTTGTGAAAGCAAGATGTCTTTGTCAACACATCCAGCGCAACACAAGTCCAAATCTCTTTGGGAGACACAGGCTTGTTTGGGGCACACAGCAAGGTAAGGAATATTCGGAGGCAATGCATGCCAGAAATATGAAGATGTATTTACGGTGGTCCTTTTCAAATACTCACCAGTGACAAGATATTTATCATTGCAACACCTATACACATATCAATGTTAAACATTAAGCATGAAAGTCAAGGGTCCATTCCCCTAGAGTTAAAAGTCAAACATTTAGATTGTCCCCAGATTCAGACAACACAGAAGTGAACCCAAAGTACCTCTGGTCTCCCATTAGTTTCAAACACAGAACAGTTTCTGCTTTAACTCACAGATGTATGAATAATGGCATTTTCACTACAATTTCCGTGTGACTGCCACTGGTGTTTATCAGAAGAACAACACAACTCACCATGTAAACATTGTCTCCCCCATAATCATGATAATAAGTAGGTACTGGTATAATGTCCCCACTTTCACCACAATTGTGATTTTAGCATGATTAGGCATGTAGTTTTAGAAAAATCATTATGATCACATATATGAAAGGAAGCTTATGCTATCATTTCAGTGATTGGTTTCTATGAATGCTAATAATAAATTTGACATTTTGCAGCTCGGACAATGTTCATCCAGACTCAAGAGACACCTAATCCTAACAGCCTCAAGTTTATTCCTGGTGTGACAGTGCTAGAGTCTGGAACTTTTGACTTTCCTAATCCCCAGTCAGCCTACTGCTCACCGCTAGCAAAGTGAGTTGAGTCTCCAGTACCTCATGTGTAATAATGAGATGTTTTGTAATACCACCACCGCAGTTGGTTGGTGGTTCAATACCCAGCCATGTCATACCACAAGATGTTAGAAACATTGTATTTGTTGTTGCCTGTGGAGCAGTCAGCATAGAACAAGGACTGGTTGGTTCAGATTCTGAAGGGGGATGTACATGCTAAAGTGCAGCATGGTATCGCAGGGGGCTAATACTGTAAACCCTGTGTAAGTAGAGACTAGTGCAAGTAGCCACACACATGCATGCAAGCACAATCCATATTTTCGGTTTGACACTTCACAGATAAAACCAGAAATACATGTATGTCCACTGTTGAAATAAAGCCATCATACTCTTCATGAACATTGAGTACGGATTTCATTTGGGGTACAACTGTTTAGCACATGTAGCATTATCTGATGTTTTTTGATGTTTGTAATTTAGGCAATGTGATCATCTTGCTTTTGTTTCCAGGCAACTATTCAAGATTGAGGGCATCAAGGCAGTGTTTTTTGGAACAAATTTCATCACAATAACAAGGGTAAGATACTAAAAATACACAAATGATGAAAGTGAGATTTTTAACATGTGTGTAATGTGTTTCACATGTGTTTATAAACATTCAGCAAATTTAGTATATCTGATGTATGTTTTCTTTGTCTGTTGTGTAAAATATGCCTCATTTTGTCCTTCACCTATAAACTCCTGTCCAACAGGAACATTTGGCTAGGTGTATGGTCTTGTTAATTAACTGTAACATATGTTACTGATTATTACCATATAATAACGATTACACTTTCTCAGTAAAATAGAGATTCCAGTATTGTTTGGGGTGGACCATCCAGGAATTGAACCCATGCTCCCAGAGTTAGGTACCTAATCGTCAGCACAGAAAGTCAGTGATCTAAACCACTGAGCTTCCACTAAGTTTCAGTGTTGATTTACTGTTTTCAAATAGATTATGAATTTTATCAAAATTCCACTGTAAGTGTAATAATCCTCCTTGAGATGTTTTGTCAATGCTGTGTCCCGTTCTTCTCAAGTTCATGAAAGAAACATCTGCTGTAGATTGATGAAGACGTGGAGTGGGGTATTCTGAAGCCAGACATCTTTGCCACAATCATGGACTTCTTTGCTTCCAACCTTCCTGTTCTTACAGATGAACAGCCCTCCTCTGACACAAGTAAGTCCTTGTATATAATGCCCTGTAGCAAGACAGTTGTAAATCAGTACACATAGAAGTAGTAGGCACTGGCAAGCAGTGAGTATAAAAGAAGTAATGCTCTTGTGTTTATATACTTTCCTCACACATCTTGCAATTATTAAAAAGAAAGAAGTACCAAATTTTCTTGTGTGTTCTGCACAGTTTATTTTTCAGTGAAGAGAGCTGTGTAGAGGAGATGCACATTGTATAATGTATTCGCTATAGATTATTTAATTTTTTTTTATCTCAGTTCACATATCAGTACTAAGAGGTTATGTCATTATCAGACTGCGCAAACTTTTCCACTATGGAAAATCCTTACAACTCTCAAATTTACCATAACCTTTTGATGAGTTATAGACTTATGTTTAGTGAACATTTATCGACATTTCAATTTATCCTGTATCTGGCCCCTGACTGTCAGTATTGTAATTCAAAATGGTCAATTCTGATCCCTAAAACAAGAACCATCACTTAGAATGTTTCAGTGATAGTACAGACAAGCCAGCAAACCTCTGGTTTTTACACAATGTTGATTACAGTTAGATCATTTCCTTAGTTGGGAGAAGATTTAGGGAAGCTCTTAGGATATTTCAGTGTCAGATTGCATGTCAGTGTAGTGTGTGTTCCTGTGAGAATATAAGGTTTTGTTTGGTTGTTGTTTTTCGTCGCACTCAGCAATATTCCAGCTATATGGCTGTGGTCTGTAAATAATCGAGTCTGGACCAGACAATCCAGTGATCAACAGCATGAGCATCGATGTACGCAATTGGGATACGATGAGCAGTGTATGAAATAAGCCAAAAACCCAGCCAGACATCGGGGATGGTAACTTCAAAAACTTACCAGCCCAGAAGAGATTTAACCAGTCCTTCTTAAATCCTAAATAGACAGTGCCAGTGGACACGTCATCTGAATATTTTTTTTCACCCGCCCATCGGGCTGGCTAGCTGTAAAATTAGACCGTCCTGCAGAAATCTAGCCTGTCTCGGGCGGTCGGACGGGCCTTATTTCATACACTGCGATGAGTCAACCAAGTCAGCAATCCTGATCCTGTTAGTTGCCTCTAATGATAAGCATGGGTTGCTGAAGATCAAATTTAACTTGAATCTTCACGGGTTGTGTGTTTCCATGTATACAAGGAAATCTCTGTTTTTGTAGCAGCCCATCCTGATGATGATGAGACAGTGTTGATGATCAAGGAGCTGCTGGACACTCGCATCAGGCCAACAGTGCAGGAGGATGGGGGAGACATTGTTTACATGGTAAGTTCTGCTGTGAGTTCTTGTTCTGCTGTTCATCAGCTTCATCTTCAATCTGGAAAACGTTTGATTCCCCACGGGTACAATGTGTGAAGCCCATTTCTGATGTACCCTTCTGTGATATTGCTGGAATATTGCTGAAGGCAAACTCACTCGTCTTGTCTTAGAGGCAGTGGGGAAACCTAGGCTAGTTGATAAAATGTGTGCTTGTCACGTTGAAGACCTGGGTTTGATTCCCCACGGGTACAATGTGTGAAGCCATTTCTGATGTACCCTTCCGTGATATTGCTGGAATATTGCTGAAGGCAAACTCACTCGTCTTGTCTTAGAGGCAGTGGGGAAACTTAGGCTAGTTGATAAAATGTTTGCTTGTCATGCTGAAGACCTGGCTTTGATTCCCCACGGGTACAATGTGTGAAGCCATTTCTGATGTACCCTTCTGTGATAGTGCTGGAATATTGCTGAAAGCAAACTCACTCTTCTTGTCCGGCTCTACTGTTCACCTTTGGCAGTTACACTGAACATACCATTTACACATACATCAGTAGCTTAATCAATATACAGTTTCATGTAAACAAGAAACCTGGGTGCTTGAACTTCACTTCTATATAGTGGTGTGACGATTCATCGATACGCATCGATACATCGATCCATGGGCAGCTGATACAGTGAATTGATACAAAGTTTTACATTGTCGTATATATCCCGATACAATACTTCATATGGGCAACGATACATCGATGTTTAGCTTTGAATATTGCCGAATCGCGATATCTGTCAAGAAAAAAGACTCACTTTTGTTTGATGATTATAATATTTGCTTACTTATTTTCCCTGCATAAGTAAACGTTTTCTCAGCAATTCTTGCATCAAGAACTGTGTCCGTCATAGCGCTCACATGTTATTATCGTTCACAAAGTCCGGGTATAAACTTAATTATCACGTTTCTGAATGAACATTACAAAACAATGGGCCATTTTCTGGAGAGGTGAGGTGAGGTGAAAGTGGGTTTACGTCGTGCTTGAGAATATTTCGCTCATATGACGATGTATGTGTATGTGCGGCTGCTTGTACTAGCCCAGACTGAAGCTGGTTTTATAGTGCTAGCCCACTGAGATACCATGCCGCAGTGAAGCATGAATACCCCACTCAGACACATTATACTGACTCCGAGCAAAACAGTCCTTCTTGTACCAATTAATGCCGAGAGCCAGGCAGGGACCAACAAGTACCATATTTTAATGTCTTTTGGTGTGACGCAGGTCGGGATCAAACCCGCGACCTTCCGCGCTCCGGGCGGACGCTCTAACCACTATACTACAGAGGTGGTTGAATGTGTGAGACTGAATGTACAAGACTGTATGTACAAAAGTGAATGATGTCAGTTTAACTGTTACATTTCAGGGTTTTGATGATGGTGTTGTGAAGCTGAAGATGCAGGGGTCCTGTACCAGTTGTCCCAGTTCGGTCGTCACGTTGAAGAATGGTGTACAGAACATGCTGCAGTTCTATATCCCTGAAGTACAGTCAGTGGAGCAGGTCAGTTGAAGCCTGCCTATATTGGCTGTTAGTGGAAGATGTATAAAGTTTCATGTTCTCTTGAGAACCTGCCTTGATGGCCATTGATGTCTCATCTGAGCACATGGTTTTCGAAGGCCAGCTGTTTCTCTCGTAAATGTCATCACATTTTGGTTGAACTGTTGATGGACAAAGGAGATAGTTGGATCTATAACCACCGCTTCCTTATTACCATGAATGCAGCGTTTCAGCATATTAATTACTAGGGCTGGCCATGAGTATAGATCATAGAGATACAAAAAGATTAAAGAAATTGTATATCCATAGAACTCTCGTCATTGTTCATCATACCAACTTCTAAATGCCACTCAAACAGGTCATAGAGATCACAGATCGTTTACTAACTATTGATTGATTATCGATAAATATCGGAGTTGTAACTTCGAGCAGAAATGCCAAAAATGTCTGAAACAAAGGAATTTGCTTCACATCACTGGTAAGTAGTTACATGCCTTTTCATGGATTACTAACAAAACAGCCCATTAATATAGTCATAACTTTGTGTATTGTGTGAGTAACTTAAATCTTTATTCTATCACAAAACTTTGCACGTACGATATTCTCGATAACACAATTTTCATATCGATAATCATCCCATAATATATGTATTTCAGCAGAAGTTTTAAAATGGTTTTCACCAATGACCCATTGTTGTTGTTTTTTTAAAATTCAGTAAGCCAACTGGTGTGAAAAGATTCTGTAAGGACATCATTGTAGGATACTAATCTGTCACATACTCATGTTTTCCAGATTGAAGACGAAGCTGATGAAATGGCCAATAATGAACTGAGGAAGCTGGAGGAGAAGCTTGGGGATAAAGATTGAGCTTCCCCATGTACACAAGGATAAAGAGAGATCTGTGTGATGAAGGATGAATGATGGGTTGTGTACAAGATGGTTTTCAGAAGCAGTGTTAGTAATATAGGGATACCTTGCTGCTTGCTGCTGTGGTAGTTGAATTCAGGGACCTCTGAATCTATATTCAATATCTTGGTTGGGAATAGAAACCCATGACATGTGTCCTTGATTTTGAAGCCTGAATAGACCTTTATTTCAGGTACATATTTGGAAGATTCATACTTCATTTATACTCCGAGCACTGGATACTGTTTATGTGACATAATTAAGAGTGAAATGTTTGTTTGAGTATGTTTTTATTAACTTTCTTTCTTCACACCTTTTGTAACAGTAAACCCGCTGGGTATAGATTGGTACAGCACTTGACCTGATTGTGTGTAATCTCAACTGTGGGGTATCCCAGCCGTTAAAGCGTTCGCTCGTCACGCCAATGGTCCGGGTTCGATTCCCCACATAGGTACAATGTGTGAAGCCCATTTCTGGTGTTCCCTGCCATCATATTGCTAAAAGCAGTGAAAAAACAAAACTCACTCACTCATGCTATGTGTCTCCACCACTGGTTTGTCCTGTCCTGGTTTAAAGACCAATGTGATATTAGTGTGAGATTACTGACTGTGGTATAAGACACCATTACTCACTCAGTCCTGTTTATTTACGTTGTGAAATCACGTAAAGAATAAGGACTTTATAGGTATTCCTGACAATTGTGCATTTAATTACCTGGAAAATAAACATATTGTTATCAAATTGTAAAGAGATTAGTGTTGTTTTATTACAGAGGAATGTCTTAATGTGTATGAGAGTGTGTAAATATGCCAAATGCATTCACTCTCCCAAGTGAAGTGATTATATACTTCATTCTAAAACATTATGTTTTCTTGTTTCATAGATTTCCATGACCATTTCACCTAAAGTAAAATGCCGAACTTATTGATTTGAAATTTATTGCCTAAAAATTATACTCAGTAAAAGAGTATGCCATATATGTTCTCTTTGACATACATAAAATATATGCTACTTTGTTAGTTTAACATAAACAAGAAAACAAACTGTAGATGTTAATTCGAGAGAAAACAGTCTTGTTGAAGCCCTCTATGTATACTTGTCAAATTGTGTAGTATCTGTGTGACGTGTGGCATTGTGTATGGTTGGTTTTGGTTGCAGTGAATCTCATTGTAATCACTAGGTCATATGAAACCTACAACAATGTTTGTTTTTGTGTTGGTACATGCATTCTTGGTTGTTACTGTGTCTTATATAGGAATTTGTTGACTGAAATAAAATGTCCTCTGTTGAGATAGGGTCTGTGGTGTGGTCATACTGCATATATTGGATATTGTCTGGTCCAGATTCGATTATATACAGACAGCCACCATATAGCTGGAATGTTGCTGAGTGTGGCGTAAAACAACAAAGCAAACCAAAATCATGTTGGATATTTATCCTTCAAACGCATGTGAAGGTGTCCCAACGGATACATGATTACCAAACACAAAATATCTTATGTGGATGTTGTTATTCACTGTTTACAGTGTAACAGAACTGTGATATATCAGTGGTATGTTTTATTCCAAGTTGGGAGTGCTTGTTTGGACAGATCATTTACCAAATGGGCCTCCTTGGCTGTAGCGGTGGCAGTTTCCATTGTAGTTGATCTTGTGATCAGCAGCTGTGGAAGATAAACACAATTCATTGCTTCTGAGACTTCTTGTTACTTGAGTGGGAGTCTGATAACGTATAATAGTATTGGATCTATGAAACACATATAGTTCAGACTTTTCTCTCATGAATAATTTTATTACGCATACTCATTTTTCACTCACTTCCAGATTTGAAACACCAATTTATCCCAAAAATGGCTACTTTCCAGTTACAGTATTCAGTTGGATTACAATTATTAGGTGTTGCTGTGGAAAATAATGTTCGTATCTTACTATTCTACTATGAACTGTAACAGTGTGTGTGTGTGTGTGTGTGTGTGTGTGTTAGTGTGAGTGCGTGCGTTTCCAAATTTGACGCATCAGTGAGAACAATGATGTTCCATGATACATGTATTTCCAGTAATATATGTTCTCATGTTTTAAAGGTGAACAGTTGACTAGCCTTTGCATGTGTTTGTGATGAATGCAACCAGTAGGGCTCATACTTTAAACCTGGAATCATCTCTAGTTGATAGTGATTCACAGACATTTGCTTATCGCACCGTATCGTAGAATGGACTTTCTAATGGATTGGAAAAAAGTTTTCTGGGTTTTGTGTGCATTGTGCAGTCGAATCCCAAACTACATACGAGGGATTAGTCCCCGGTCATCAACCGGTTTGGTCAACAAAATAGAGAACAATAAATGATATTTCTTACAACTTCAAGAATGCCTCTCAAACAATTCATCGTCACGCTGAAGACCCGGATTCGATTCCCCACATGGGTACAATGTGTGAAGCCCATTTCCAGTGTCCCCCACCGTGATATATTGCTGGAATATTGCTAAAAGTGTAAATCTCAACTCGCTCACTCACTCAAACAGTTCAACAATAAACGAACCTGGCTTGTTTCTTGAGTAGATTGTCGATCAAGCCTGATTCAATTATCATTTATACCCCTCCTTACCGTTGAAATTCGGACTGGACAAGATGCTGTCGATGTATAGGCAGTATTTGCATTCGTTGGTGAAAGTGCCCTGGGTGGTGCAGACGGGGTGGTAGTTGGAAGATCAAATTTAACTTGAATCTTCACGAGGGTTGTGTGTTTCCATGTATACAAAGGAAATCTCTGTTTTGTAGCAGCCCATCCTGATGATGATGAGACAGTGTTGATGATCAAGGGCTGCTGGACACTGCATCAGGCCAACAGTGCAGGAGGATGGGGGAGACATTGTTTACATGGTAAGTTCTGCTGTGAGTTCTTGTTCTGCTGTTCATCAGCTTCATCTTCAATCTGGAAAACGTTTGATTCCCCACGGGTACAATGTGTGAAGCCCATTTCTGATGTACCCTTCTGTGATATTGCTGGAATATTGCTGAAGGCAAACTCACTCGTCTTGTCTTAGAGGCGGTGGGGAAACCTAGGCTAGTTGATAAAATGTGTGCTTGCATCGCGTTGAAGACCTGGGTTTGATTCCCCACCCGGGTACAATGTGTGAAGCCATATCTGATGTATTCCATTGATATTGCTGGAATATTGCTGAAGGCAAACTCACTCGTCTTGTGGCTTAGAGGCAGTGGGGAAACTTAGAGCTAGTTGATAAAATGTTTGCTTGTCATGCTGAAGACCTGGCTTTGATTCCCCACGGGTACAATGTGTGAAGCCATTTCTGATGTACCCTTCTGTGATAGTGCTGGAATATTGCTGAAAGCAAACTCACTCTTCTTGTTGCGGGCTCTACTGTTCACCTTTGGCAATTACACTGAACATACCATTTACACACATACATCAGTAGCTTAATCAATATACAGTTTCATGTAAACAAGAAACCTGGGTGCTTGAACTTCACTTCTATATAGTGGTGTGACGATTCATCGATACGCATCGATACATCGATCCATGGGCAGCTGATACAGTGAATTGATACAAAGTTTTACATTGTCGTATATATCCCGATACAATACTTCATATGGGCAGCGATACATCGATGTTTAGCTTTGAATATTGCCGAATCGCGATATCTGTCAAGGAAAAAGACTCACATTTTTCCTTATCCTGACTCATGCTCTTTTGCTTGTCTTCTTCTTCTTGCGAACATAGTGGAACACTTGTATCTCCTTATTTGAAGCTCCCTTCAAAATAAAATCACTAATTGGTACTCACCACGAGTTGCTCCCCTTTGTCTCCCCTGGCGGGAAAGGTGTCGCCACCCTCTGGCCAGGTGCTCCACTCTCTCCTTCTTCGCCCAGTGAGCAGGATGTAGAGGCCTTGTGTCTCATTACACACCATATCCTTTGATAATCTCTTAGTTTTTACCTCTCATAGGTTACTATAAGAGGTATAGCTAGTATCCTTTACTATTTGTATTGATTAATTGGTATCATTATTTCTACTGTTTATTCCGTGTATTACATTGATTGTTCAGCTAACTTTTCGTTGATGAAAATCTATGCGATTTGTAGATGCGTTTTTTTTCTGCCTCCGATCCACATGTAATATGCCCTAGTTGTTCGCCCGTGTCTCGCGTTTAATTCCGTTGCAGTTACTGCATTAATTTATCTCATTCTGCATTTAATAAATATCATCTTTCGCGTCTTAAGGCGTGCTGCAGATAGATCAAACAAGGGCAAAACATGGCAGAGGAGTCAGATATTCCATCCAGTCAGCTGCTAGCGTCGACCCTCTCCCGTCTGGTGTTCTGCTAGAGACCCCTGCGGCAGAGAGGCGTGGGGACGCGATCCGTTACCTCGAAAAGCGACCCGGCCTCCCCAGACATCCGTCATTGCAGACCAAGTCTAAGAGGGCCTCATGTCGTCGAATCTCCAGCGCCAGATTGAGGGGACACCCAGGGCAGCGCAGACTTCCAAAGGAAATCTGAAGACAGCAAGAACTTTCTCAGCGAGATCGTTCCAGCAGCAGAATTGGGCCTCACGATGATCGGCCGATAATCATACCCCGACTACTACGGCAGGCGAAGCCGGTGTCAGCGCTGTGACTTCTGCAGAGATCACCATGCAGCCCTGATGCCTCTACACCGGCGTCAGGCGTCATTGATGTGAACCCCATGTCGCGAAAGGCGCCCGGCGACGCCGTCTGAATCATCCCAGAAGACTTGATCGCGGCGGTTTATGAACATCATGGAGGACCACTACAAACTCTTAAGCTTGAAATCCGAACAACCAGCGAAGAGCTCCAGCGTGAACAGCACCCAGAGGCACCCCCGTCAGCGTAGCAGCCAAGGCGATGTCACCTTAGCGAAGGAAGTCCGCTTCCTGGCCATGAAGGACCTAGATGTACAGCCAGCAGCCCTTCCAGCGGGCCCGGGAAATCATCACCATCTTAGATTTCATCTCTAGATATGGACTCAGACCATCAGACATCACGGAGGCCGCCAGCGAAGGTCCATATCATGCGATCCCCGGACGGACGCAAATGAAGCTTAGAAGGCATTCGCGAAGGACATCTCGATTCAGATCCTCATCATCTAGAAGAACATCGAGGGACTGCGAAGAGCTTCGGCGAAGCTATCAACATTCACCTCACAGAGTCTCGAGAAGATCATCCCATAGGCGATCTCCGCCGTTCATCACCAGGCGATCACCCGTCAGATCTCCACGCATAAGCGGCACTGGAGTCAACTAGATGCGCCACAAACCTCATCAGATATACAGACAGCTGCGCGGTCGAAGAGCATCTACAATTTGTTAATGATGTGGTTTGGGATGATGGAGGAATCATATTTTCTGATGCAGAATCACGGTATTGGATGGTCAATAACCTGGATCTCACATCACCATCTAAAGAAGTGGCAATACAGCGCCAGGCGTATTTGATGAAGGAAGATGATCCAGATGCAATCACTCTACCCCGATCGACCCGATTGCGGCAGTGCCACAGAATCTAGATGCAGCTTTCAGAAGCTTCACAGTTCAGATACCACATCTGCCCAACTTTCAAGCCAAGTTCTCCACGCCATAACATGGACTCCTTCTACAAGGCCCAGGACATCGATGAGAACTATAAGATCATCAGCGATGTAAAGAACAAGATTTGCTAAAGATGGATGATAGCATAGAGTTGAAATATAGAAACCATGGCGAGGCGTATGTTCTTGGGTTAAATATGATCTAGGACGATCAATGAGACTCTTATTACTAGATTCGGGGATTCCGCGCCGAGGAAGATGATAGAATGATTTATTCTGCCTTACTTATGCAAAGAAAGATCAGCAGTTTTTAGCGGATCATCTTACATCTGTTTCCAGCAAACTGACCTTAGCTTTCGTCGTCAAGGCCTCTCCTCGCCTCCTGTAATTGGGGGAGAACTTTACAGCCCACTTTATACAGCCCGTGGTGGCGACAACATCCATCTTTGTGAGGAGAAATCGACAAAGTCGTCAAGGAAGTCTCTAAGGATTCCAGGGAAGTCCCTTATGATTAGATGCGATGGACACACTAGCCAAGCGTCATTCGTCAGACTTCACAAAGATACTCAGAGCAGATCTAAGTTCACGGGCCTACAAAGAGCAAGAGACAGGAAGATAGCCAGCTCTAGAGGTAAGGATTCTTTTAAATTAAGCCCATATGGCAACTATAGAGGAGGATCAGGAAGAGGCAGGTTTTACCCAGAGGTTCCGCAATTATAGGCAGCTGGCTTACAGGTTGAACGACTAGAGTCTTCCACCCCAGCGTTCCAGTACAGCCAGCTCAAGTGGGTGGGCGCCTCCAACTACACTGGAAAACTGGGGAATATTGCAGACCCTTCGTCTCCAACATTCTTCAACACCCAGTTTAAAGTATCCCTCTACAGGCCAAGCCTCCGTGACAATGAGAAACCCCCAAGTTCGATTTACAAGCGCCCAACAACTACCAAAGATAAGAGAGGCTGTTTCATCACTCCTATCCAAACAGGCCATAGAAATAATAGATCAAACAAGCGTCGAACCAGGTTTCTACTCCCCAGTTTTCCTAGTTCCCAAGAAAAACTCCGCGAATACAGACTCATCTACAACATGAGCTTTTTCAACAAGAACTATCTCGCAAACCACGAAGTTTATGATACATTTACCTCTGGATTCACGCCAGATGATTAGTCCTATGGACTACATGGGCAGCATAGATCTACAGGATGCCTACCTGCACATCCCATTCATCCGATTCCAGGAAAGCCTACGATTTACTCTAGAAGGGCTACATTACCAGTGGAAAGTACTCCCCATTGGGAATATCATCAGCCCCTGGCTATTCCGCGAGGATAGCGAAGCCGATTATCAAATTTCTACATCGTCAAGAGAACTCGCAGTCGTTTTACCTAAACTGACGGGATATAAGTAGATCAAGATCCACTGCGTCTCAAACTACAGTTAAATTACATCATAAAGCTACTAACACAGCTAGGTTGGTTAGTAAACTTCACGTAAAGTCGGACCTAGTACCATCCATAGAGTTGCACGGTTCCTAGGTGATTAGATTCATCACAAATGCATAACAGCGTATTATGGTACCAGAAGACCCGTTGGCTCCAAGATACAGCAGACCATTCCACCAGCTCTACTCTCTCCGTTACCACTCGACAATGGCAGAGCCCTACTAGGTCTTCTCACATCAGCCCAAGACATGACTGTCACAGGCAGATTACAGATTCGTCCCTACAGGTCCTCATCAGCACATCTCAGCGATGTACAACCATTCAGTCTACGAGAAACATCTCAGACCACATCTACTATGGTGGACCAAGAAATCGAATGTCTGCGAAGGGATTTGTTTAGCAGAGCAGAATACAAAACCCATCTGTATGTAGGCAGCGTCACTCCAAGGTTGGGAGCTCATCTCACCAACCACCGATATCAGGGTTATGGAATCAGCAAGAATGCAAACTCCATATAAACAGTCTAGAAATGAAAGCTGTAATCAGCAGCCATTCTACATTGGAGCACATTTCTACAAAATGCACGCCTAATGATCCATACAGACAATTCGACAGTGGCGTTCTACATAAACAAGCAAGGCTCAACGAGATCGATGAACCTTTTTGAACCTAAGCTTTCAACTGTTAGATTTAATACAAGATCTAAATCTACATGTCAGAGCAGTGCACATTCGAACCAGAAATATACTAGCAGGCTTTGGCTCTCTCGGCCTCATCTACCATCACCGACAGAGTGGATGATCAACAGGGAAATTTTGCACAGATAATCAAGCAATTAGGAGGCCGCTAATGACCTATTAAGCCCGCAGCGATTCAGCAATCAGCTACCGACATTACGTGTCACCAGTCCCAGACCCCCAAGCTTGCAGACAGCGGGCTCTAAGTCTATCATGGGAAGGCCTCAATGCGTGCAGCGTTTCCGCCCGCCAGCAATAATACCTCAAGTATTACAGAAAATCAGACAAACACAGAGCCTACAACTCACTTTGAATTACAGCCCTACTGGCCGGCCAGAGCGTGGTTTCCCATACTAATTCAAGAAATCGGTCAACCAACACTGGAGCTACCCAAGCGCCAAACCTGTTAATTCATCCTCACACCAAACAGAGTGCAATTGAAACCCAGCAATGTTCAACTACTGCGTATATGGACTGTATACAAAATGTGTTTAAACAAGAGGATATTCTGCCAGAGCGGCAAAAGCAGTCAACGCAATTTACGTTACTCAACTACGTAACAATACGGCGACAAGTGGCACAGTTTGAAAATTATGCAACAAAGAAAGGGTTTACAGCAAGAGAGGCTTCACAACCTCAAGTGGCAGACTATTTGTGTTACCTACGCCAAAACAAACATTTAAAAGGTTCAACGATATCAACATATCTTGCAGCTTAGTTCTGTAATCACCATGAGAGCGAATTGTCAAATTGACAAGATCTCCAGAGTTACTGGCCTTACTACGAGCTTTCGATTGGAGGACCAAAGCGGAAGTTCCATCCCCAGCTTGGGATCTGAATAGTGTTACAACACCTCACGCGAGTGAGGTCTATGAACCTTTGGAATCGACAAACTTTGAATTTCTCTCACAGAAAACACTGTTTCTGCTATGGCTAGCCACAGCAGCAAGAATGTCTGAAATTCACGCGGCTCTGGATTCGAGGAGGATACAGTTTGATGACAATCATAACACAGCACCTCGGATTAAGATGGGATTTCATGTAAAAATCAACTGCCAGGTCAACCAGACAGATTATTCCACTTCCCGGCTATCCTCTATTCTCGGATCACAAGATACACAAGACCTATCACTGTGTCGGTAAGAGCTCAAAGTTTATTTCTGACGATCAAAACAAGGAGAAGATTTCTCAAGCGTTTATTCATCCCTTATAAGCCCTCACGAATCAAACAGAAGTGTCACGGACTACAATATCTATTTGGATAAGGACTGTCATTCTCCGTGCCTACCAAGGCAGCAGGCTTGGACCACCAACAGCATCAAATCCACATGAGATCAGGGCACTGGCCTCTACCCTGCAGCCCTACGGTAACTGTTCCTTGAACACGATTATGGAAGGATGCTATTGGAAATCTAACATGGTATTTGCTAATCACTGCCTAAGAGACATCACTACAGAAGATGTCTCTGGCATTCCTTCATCCGGACCACTGGTCCTCGCTCAGCAACTGACAGTCCCTAAGTAGGCGTTAAAATATTATCCTCACAAGATTAATATGTATTTTATACATACTCATCTAGCTTATAACTCTGACGGAGTTTTAGGGCTATGTATATATGTTCAGCTTAAGTATTCAGCCTTAAGCATATACTTTCAGTATAGTCAATTTCAGTGCCTCTATCAGAGTCACCTATATATATATATAATTTATATGTATTGTTCAATATATTCATAATGTAATTCCCCTTTAATGGCTTTATATAACCTATGGTTTCTTTATACAGGAAACATCTAAATCTAAGCCTTCATGAAGTTCCGTGGGAATATTACAGTATATCTATACAAAATCACTAATTATAAATCCAAAGTATTCTGTTACCCACCTCCGTTCGTAGGATGCTACAAACAAAGAGCATGAGTCAGGATAAAGGAAAAATATGTAATTTTAGAGTAAAATTGATATTTTATACTTATCCTGACTCATGAGGTTAGCCCTCCCATCCTCCCCACATAACACTTTGGATTTCCCTGTAAATTCAAGTGTTGGGCTCGCTAAATCAGGAGAGAGTGGAGCACATGGCCAGAGGGTGGCGACACCTTTCCGCCAGGGGAGACAAAGGGGAGCAACTCGTGGTGAGTACCAATTAGTGATTTTATTTTGAAGGGAGCTTCAAATAAGGAGATACAAGTGTTCCACTATGTTCGCAAGAAGAAGAAGACAAGCAAAAGAGCATGAGTCAGGATAAGTATAAAATATCAATTTTACTCTAAAAATTACATTTTTGTTTGATGATTATAATATTTGCTTACTTATTTTCCCTGCATAAGTAAACGTTTTCTCAGCAATTCTTGCATCAAGAACTGTGTCCGTCATAGAGCTCACATGTTATTATCGTTCACAAAGTCCGGGTATAAACTTAATTATCACGTTTCTGAATGAACATTACAAAACAATGGGCCATTTTCTGGAGAGGTAAGGTGAGGTGAAAGTGGGTTTACGTCGTGCTTGAGAATATTTCGCTCATATGACGATGTATGTGTATGTGCGGCTGCTTGTACTAGCCCAGACTGAAGCTGGTTTTATAGTGCTAGCCCACTGAGATACCATGCCGCAGTGAAGCATGAATACCCCACTCAGACACATTATACTGACTCCGAGCAAAACAGTCCTTCTTGTACCAATTAATGCCGAGCGCCGGGCAGGGACCAACAAGTACCATATTTTAATGTCTTTTGGTGTGACGCGGTCGGGGATCAAACCCGCGACCTTCCGCTCTCCGGGCGGACGCTCTAACCACTATACTACAGAGGTGGTTGAATGTGTGAGACTGAATGTACAAGACTGTATGTACAAAAGTGAATGATGTCAGTTTAACTGTTACATTTCAGGGTTTTGATGATGGTGTTGTGAAGCTGAAGATGCAGGGGTCCTGTACCAGTTGTCCCAGTTCGGTCGTCACGTTGAAGAATGGTGTACAGAACATGCTGCAGTTCTATATCCCTGAAGTACAGTCAGTGGAGCAGGTCAGTTGAAGCCTATATTGGCTGTTAGTGGAAGATGTATAAAGTTTCATGTTCTCTTGAGCACACCTGCCTTGATGGCCATTGATGTCTCATCTGTGCACATGGTTTCGGAAGGCCAGCTGTTTCTCTAGTAAATGTCATCACATTTTGGTTGAACTGTTGATGGACAAAGGAGATAGTTGGATCTATAACCACCGCTTCCTTATTACCATGAATGCAGCGTTTCAGCATATTAATTACTAGGGCTGGCCATGAGTATAGATCATAGAGATACAAAAAGATTAAAGAAATTGTATATCCATAGAACTCTCGTCATTGTTCATCATACCAACTTCTAAATGCCACTCAAACAGGTCATAGAGATCACAGATCGTTTACTAACTATTGATTGATTATCGATAAATATCGGAGTTGTAACTTCGAGCAGAAATGCCAAAAATGTCTGAAACAAAGGAATTTGCTTCACATCACTGGTAAGTAGTTACATGCCTTTTCATGGATTACTAACAAAACAGCCCATTAATATAGTCATAACTTTGTGTATTGTGTGAGTAACTTAAATCTTTATTCTATCACAAAACTTTGCACGTACGATATTCTCGATAACACAATTTTCATATCGATAATCATCCCATAATATATGTATTTCAGCAGAAGTTTTAAAAGGGTTTTTCACCAATGACCCATTTTTTTTTTTTTTAAATTCAGTAAGCCAACTGGTGTGAAAAGATTCTGTAAGGACATCATTGTAGGATACTAATCTGTCACATACTCATGTTTTCCAGATTGAAGACGAAGCTGATGAAATGGCCAATAATGAACTGAGGAAGCTGGAGGAGAAGCTTGGGGATAAAGATTGAGCTTCCCCATGTACACAAGGATAAAGAGAGATCTGTGTGATGAAGGATGAATGATGGGTTGTGTACAAGATGGTTTTCAGAAGCAGTGTTAGTAATATAGGGATACCTTGCTGCTTGCTGCTGTGGTAGTTGAATTCAGGGACCTCTGAATCTATATTCAATATCTTGGTTGGGAATAGAAACCCATGACATGTGTCCTTGATTTTGAAGCCTGAATAGACCTTTATTTCAGGTACATATTTGGAAGATTCATACTTCATTTATACTCTGAGCACTGGATACTGTTTATGTGACATAATTAAGAGTGAAATGTTTGTTTGAGTATGTTTTATTAACTTTCTTTCTTCACACCTTTTGTAACAGTAAACCCGCTGGGTATAGATTGGTACAGCACTTGACCTGATTGTGTGTAATCTCAACTGTGGGGTATCCCAGCCGTTAAAAGCGTTAAGCTCGTCCAGCCGTAATGGTCCGGGTTCGATTCCCCACATAGGTACAATGTGTGAAGCCCATTTCTGGTGTTCCCTGCCATCATATTGCTAAAAGCAGTGAAAAACAAAACTCACTCACTCATGCTATGTGTCTCCACCACTGGTTTGTCCTGTCCTGGTTTAAAGACCAATGTGATATTAGTGTGAGATTACTGACTGTGGTATAAGACACCATTACTCACTCAGTCCTGTTTATTTACGTTGTGAAATCACGTAAAGAATAAGGACTTTATAGGTATTCCTGACAATTGTGCATTTAATTACCTGGAAAATAAACATATTGTTATCAAATTGTAACGAGATTAGTGTTGTTTTATTACAGAGAAATGTCTTAATGTGTATGAGAGTGTGTAAATATGCCAAATGCATTCACTCTCCCAAGTGAAGTGATTATATACTTCATTCTAAAACATTATGTTTTCTTGTTTCATAGATTTCCATGACCATTTCACCTAAAGTAAAATGCCGAACTTATTGATTTGAAATTTATTGCCTAAAAATTATACTCAGTAAAAGAGTATGCCATATATGTTCTCTTTGACATACATAAAATATATGCTACTTTGTTAGTTTAACATAAACAAGAAAACAAACTGTAGATGTTAATCAGAGAGAAAACAGTCTTGTTGAAGCCCTCTATGTATACTTGTCAAATTGTGTAGTATCTGTGTGACGTGTGGCATTGTGTATGGTTGGTTTTGGTTGCAGTGAATCTCATTGTAATCACTAGGTCATATGAAACCTACAACAATGTTTGTTTTTGTGTTGGTACATGCATTCTTGGTTGTTACTGTGTCTTATATAGGAATTTGTTGACTGAAATAAAATGTCCCCTGTTGAGATAGGGTCTGTGGCGTGGTCATACTGCATATATTGGATATTGTCTGGTCCAGATTCGATTTGATTCGTCAGCCACCATATAGCTGGAATGTTGCTGTGTGTGGCGTAAAACAACAAACCAAACCAACATCATGTTCGATATTTATCCTTCAAATGCATGTGAAGGTGTCCTAATGGATACATGATTACCAAACACAAAATATCTTATGTGGATGTTGTTATTCACTGTTTACAGTGTAACAGAACTGTGATATATCAGTGGTATGTTTTATTCCAAGTTGGGAGTGCTTGTTTGGACAGATCATTTACCAAATGGGCCTCCTTGGCTGTAGCGGTGGCAGTTTCCATTGTAGTTGATCTTGTGATCAGCAGCTGTGGAAGATAAACACAATTCATTGCTTCTGAGACTTCTTGTTACTTGAGTGGGAGTCTGATAACGTATAATAGTATTGGATCTATGAAACACATATAGTTCAGACTTTTCTCTCATGAATAATTTTATTACGCATACTCATTTTTCACTCACTTCCAGATTTGAAACACCAATTTATCCCAAAAATGGCTACTTTCCAGTTACAGTATTCAGTTGGATTATAATTATTAGGAGTTGCTGTGGAAAATAATGTTCGTATCTTACTATTCTACTATGAACAGTGTGTGTGTGTGTGTGTGTGTGTGTGTGTGTGTGTGTGTGTGTGTGTGTGTGTGTGTGTGTGTGTGTGTGTGTGTGTGTGTGTGTGTGTGTGTGTGTGTGTGTGTGTGTGTGTGTGTGAGTGCGTGCGTTTCCAAATTTGACGCATCAGTGAGAACAATGATGTTCCATGATACATGTATTTCCAGTAATATATGTTCTCATGTTTTAAAGGTGAACAGTTGACTAGCCTTTGCATGTGTTTGTGATGAATGCAACCAGTAGGGCTCATACTTTAAACCTGGAATCATCTCTAGTTGATAGTGATTCACAGACATTTGCTTATAGCACCGTATCGTAGAATGGACTTTCTAATGGATTGGAAAAAAGTTTTCTGGGTTTTGTGTGCATTGTGCAGTCGAATCCCAAACTACATACGAGGGATTAGTCCCCGGTCATCAACCGGTTTGGTCAACAAAAATAGAGAACAATAAATGATATTTCTTACAACTTCAAGAATGCCTCTCAAACAATTCATCGTCACGCTGAAGACCCGGATTCGATTCCCCACATGGGTACAATGTGTGAAGCCCATTTCCAGTGTCCCCCACCGTGATATATTGCTGGAATATTGCTAAAAGTGTAAATCTCAACTCGCTCACTCACTCAAACAGTTCAACAATAAACGAACCTGGCTTGTTTCTTGAGTAGATTGTCGATCAAGCCTGATTCAATTATCATTTATAGCCCCTCCTTACCGTTGAAATTCGGACTGGACAAGATGCTGTCGATGTATAGGCAGTATTTGCATTCGTTGGTGAAAGTGCCCTGGGTGGTGCAGACGGGGTGGTAGTTGGAGGGACATAGAGTGGTGATGCCGCTACCAACTTGGCCTTCCAGAGCCAGATCTGTTGTATTGTACGAATACTTCTCACAGTCAGGCTGCAATACAGATGCGATAGGAGATTAGGTGAATCCGGAATAATTACCCCGGCAATCAATACAGGTTATAGGAATCATCTCAATCAATTTGTCAGCGTATTCCGATCGTTGCTCACAAGACCGTTCGCTGGTTTATGTGGTTCGAATTTATTCGATTTATTCGCTGTCATTTAGTTGTATTATTGCAGCGTTAAGTGTTTTGATTTAATATGCTTGTCATTTAACGCCTCTCTCAGCAATAATTCAGCTATACCAAAGTGGTCTGTAAATAGAGTGTGGACCAGACAATCCAGTGACTGACATCATGAGCATCAATCTGTGCAACCGCTACTCAGTGACATGCATCAAAGAAGTCTAACCTCCCGATCCCGTTAGTCGCCTCTTACGACAAGCATGGATGGCGGAAGACCAATTCTAACCTGGACATTCACAGGTCGCAGATTTAAGCAACAACCTTTATAAATTCATTATCAGAGAAGATATTGTTTACTTGTCTCAGGTTTCCCTAATTTCACTATCCAATCGGATGTTGTTAATATGACCAATCTCACAACACCGGCTTAAGATACTTATATTATTGAAGCACACGTTTGTGTTTATGCCTTTGAATGTACTTCTGTGGATTTTCCACTAACAGATATATCAACCTGTACATCCAGTCAGTTCAACGTTTATACTTATTAATGTATGATATACTATTAGATACAAATAATCTGCAAATATTGCATTTGAGCGACGTACTTATATCAAGTGCTAAACGTCCATCCTCTACGATGTCTTAAAAGTTCTCGAATGGCTTTTGTTAAATGCAACAAAACTATGTGCAATGGAATATGCTGAAGGTACGTCCCAAAAACACAAACTCCTTCCGTGTTCATTGCATCAACCACTGATTTGTTAGTGGATTACGACAGTGGATCGCTGGCTGGGATATTTGTCCCTATCAACCACTAGATTGTCTAGTCGTCTTGATTATCTACAACCTAACGTTGGATAGCTGGAGTGTTGGTTTCGTGTTATCATACCCCGATGACTGCGATATTTGCTCATATCAATCACAAGATTGTCTAGTCGTCTTGATTATCTACAACCTAACGTTGGGTAGCTGGAGTGTTGGTTTCGTGTTATCATACCCCGATGACTACGATATTTGCTCATATCAATCACAAGATTGTCTATTCGTCTTGATTATCTACAACCTACCCTTGGGTAGCTGGAGTATTGGTTTCGTGTTATCATACCCCGATGACTACGATGTTTGCTCATATCAATCACAAGATTGTCTAGTCGTCTTGATTATCTACAACTGAACGTTGGATAGCTGGAGTGTTGGGTTTCGTGTTATCATACCCCGATGACTGCGATATTTGCTCATATCAATCACAAGATTGTCTATTCGTCTTGATTATCTACAACCTAACGTTGGATAGCTGGAGTGTTGGTTTCGTGTTATCATACCCCGATGACTGCGATATTTGTCCGTATCCATCACTAGACTGTCTAGTCGTTTTGATTATCTACAACCCACCGTTAGATAGCTGGAGTGTTGAACAGCTATCCCATCTTACTATGACTGACTGACGGAGTTTGGTTTTACGCCGCTTTTAGCAATATTCCAGCAACATCACGGCGGGGGACACCAGAAATGGGATTCACACATTGTACCCATGTGGGGATCCGAACGTGACGAGCCAACGCTTTAACCATTAGGCTACTCCACCGCCCCATCTTACTATGCAAACACGATAACGTCTTTCTGCTGCACTCACCTCTACTGGGACAGGACAGGAATCGTTGTAGGACACAATGTACAGGGTGGTGCCATTTTTGGCAGCATCACACCTAGCCAGGTTGAAGCGACATTGGTTATCTGTAAAGATGGATAGGTAAAGAAATACCAATACTACAATATTGTCTAAAATAATGACTTGGAACTGAACGTTTTGGTGAAATGAGGAGTAACGACTTTGTACTTCATCCTTGTTTTGGACCTAAAGAGCATTACAGCCTTACGAAAGATGTGTTAGTGAAACTGAGATTAATAAAGATGTAAGTTGTGGTGGCTTTGAGTGTGTAGGCAAAGGCAGCAAAACCAGATTTAAAACAAAAATAGAGCGATGAACCTATGTACATGAAGTTAAGAACTATCTTTCAGAAATGTTTTTTTTCTGGGGGAGGATTTGTTTGTGTGAAGGTTTTCAGAGGAAAGACTATTTTTCAGACTTTCGACGAATTCACAGACAACCGAGCTGAAGTTAAGAGACACTAGAAGTAATCGCCTCACATTTCACCCATGTGGAGAATGAAACCTGGAGCTCGGCTTGTCAAGGGAGTTCTTTAACCACCACTCTGCCTTATTTTCGAGGATTGTGAACCTTGAAATACTCACCGTACACGATGCTGTTGGAAGCACAGATCGGGGACCTCACCTCCTGCTCGTCGCAGATCTTGTCACAGCTGGACTGACCACCCAACACATAGCTGCACGGACCACTGGATATCTCGCGGATGCTACCAAGTCCTCGCAGCATGTATTGGCAAGAAGCCAGTTGCAACTTACATGCATTGCCTGTAACAAACCACGAACAGGTCATAACACAAAGGGCGATATAGCAAACCACTAACATACATGCATTGCTTGTAACAAGCCATGAACAGGTCATAACACAAAGGGCGATATAGCAAACCACAGAGTAATATATGTGTATTGCCTTTAACAAACCACGAACAGGTCATAACACAAAGGGCGATATAGCAAACCACTAACATACATGCATTGCTTGTAACAAGCCATGAACAGGTCATAACACAAAGGGCGATATAGCAAACCACAGAGTAATATATGTGTATTGCCTGTAACAAACCACGAACAGGTCATAACACAAAGGGCGATATAGCAAACCACAAAGTAACATACATGCATTGCCTGTAACAAACCACAAACAGGTCATAACACAGAGGGCGATATAGCATACCACCGAACAACATACATGCATTGCCTGTAACTAGCCACAAACAGGTGATAACACAAAGGGCGATATAGCAAACCACAAAGTAACATACATGCATTGCCTGTAACAAACCACGAACAGGTCATAACACAAAGGGCGATATAGCAAAACACTAACATGCATGCATTGCCTTTAGCAAACCACGAACAGGTCATAACACAGAGGGCGATATAGCAAACCACCGAACAACATGCATGCATTGCCTGTAACAAACCACGAACTATGTCATAACACAAAGGGCGATATAACAAACCACAGAGTAACATACTTGCATTGCCTGTAATAAACCACGAACAGGTCAAAACACAAAGGGCGATATAACAAACCACAGAGTAACATACATGCATTGCCTGTAACAAACCACGAACAGTTCATAACACAAAGGGCGATATGGCAAACCACAAAGTAACATACATGCATTGCCTGTAACAAACCACGAACAGTTCATAACACAAAGGGCGATATGTCAAACCACTAACATACATGCATTGCCTGTAACAAACCACGAACAGTTCATAACACAAAGGGCGATATGGCAAACCACAAAGTAACATACATGCATTGCCTGTAACAAACCACGAACAGTTCATAACACAAAGGGCGATATGGCAAACCACTAACATACATGCATTGCCTGTAACAAACCACGAACAGGTCATAACACAAAGGGCGATATAACAAACCACAGAGTAACATACATGCATTGCATGTAACAAACCACGAACAGTTCATAACACAAAGGGCGATATTGCAAACCACAAAGTAACATACATGCATTGCCTGTAACAAACCACGAACAGGTCAAAACACAAAGGGCGATATAACAAACCACAGAGTAACATACATGCATTGCATGTAACAAACCACGAACAGGTCAAAACACAAAGGGCGATATAGCAAACCACAGAGTAACATACATGCATTGCATGTAACAAACCAAGAACAGGTCATAACACAAAGGGCGATATAACAAACCACAGAGTAACATACATGCATTGCATGTAACAAACCACGAACAGTTCATAACACAAAGGGCGATATGGCAAACCACAAAGTAACATACATGCATTGCCTGTAACAAACCACGAACAGGTCAAAACACAAAGGGCGATATAACAAACCACAGAGTAACATACATGCATTGCATGTAACAAACTAAGAACAGGTCATAACACAAAGGGCGATATAACCAACCACAGAATAACATACATGCATTGCCTGTAACAAACCACGAACAGGTCATAACACAAAGGGCGATATAACAAACCACAGAGTAACATACATGCATTGCATGTAACAAACCACGAACAGGTCATAACACAAAGGGCGATATAACAAACCACAGAGTAACATACATGCATTGCCTGTAACAAACCACGAACAGGTCATTACACAAAGGGCGATATGGCAAACCACAAAGTAACATACATGCATTGCCTGTAACAAACCACGAACAGGTCATGGCACAAAGGGCGATATAACAAACCACAGAGTAACATACATGCATTGCCTGTAACAAATCACGAACAGGTCATAAAACAAAAGGCGATCTGGCAAACCATAGAGTAACATACATGCATTGCCTGTAACAAACCACGAACAGTTCATAACACATAAGGCGATATAGCAAACCACAGAGTAGCTTACTCATCTGAAGTAGCTCATACAAAAATGTAATGAAGATGCAAGTATAATCCATTGAATGCGAGTAAAACCAGTCTTAAAAAAACCCATAGCGAAGACATTTTGAATCCGCGAAAAGAAAACCATTCTGCGCTTTTAAGACATGAGAGTTTCTTTCTCTCTAAGAACACGAAAGCATAATTTATTAAATGCGAGAATAAGAGCCGAACACAAGTCAAACCAGATATAAGTCCATAACAAACACATTAAGATTTGAATCCGCGAGGAGAAAGACTAGAGCAATAACCTGTGCTTTTAAGTTCATTTATGAACTCATTTACAGCTTCTAGAGCCATAGTCACCTTACTTCAGTTGTTTCAATATGGAATTTGTGGATGTTAGTTTGAAACAGTGAGTATTAAAATGAATGCCATATTGGATAAGTGTAAAGTGCATTGCTCATGTCACTTAGTAAAGAGTGAGTGAGTAAATACTGAATACCGCCTCATCATCAAAGTATTGTTTTGTTGTTGCAGCTACTCTCGACAGCCTTGTGCACTTTGAAAGGTTCGCATTCAACGACACTGATGTTACAAACTTAATTTGGAGGGCATGCGTGTAATGCCATTTGCTATGTGTCTGATGTGGTAACTTACTGAATGTGACGCCATTGGATCCACACACAGGTCTGTAGTCAGATCCACAAGTATTCTGACAGGAAGTTTGCGGGGCTCCAAGAGCACCTGAAACAGCAGACAGGCAGCGGCTGAACATACGAGGGTTCATCAAACAAAGGATGGTATTCGATGGATTCGATGAACCATTTATGGTATCACGGTGAGTGAATGAGTGAGTTTGGTTTATCGCCACTTTTAACAGCATTCCAGTGATCAGATATGAGAGGATACCCGGAAGAGATGTAGATATCAAGCTTTTACCAGGGGTGGTTTGGTAGCCTAGGATTTAAACCGTTCATGGTCACGCCGAAGACCCGTGTTCGATTCCCTACATGGATACCGCTTGTAAAGCCCATTTCCGGGGTCTTCCGCACTGAAATTGCTGGAATACTACAAAAAGCGGCGTAAAACTAACAAACATACACTCTGATATTACACAATATCCATAATTCTCAAATTATCTTAACCGCTAAATGTATTTAATGACATCTGTTAAAATGCAATGGCTCAACCCCCAAAATACCTTAGAAATTGGAAGATCGGAGGTATACCATTGTCTTTAGCAAATGCACACGCTGTAATCTGAATGATACTGGCAATGACTATAAGAGTTTGTTTTTTAACATTCTTATATAAATACAAAGACATACAAATTTACCTATAATGTGTGCAGGTGGAGTGAATTGTCAATACTATGCTGTTCTGTGTACGATCTGGAAACCCCACAGTTACAGAAATCTGACCGATTCATCACCCAATCAGGGGGATTCTTGCATGGTGTCACTCAGGGTTCAGTACTGAGACCTATTGTTTTTATCCTATACTACTGCTCTAACGGATATAGCTAGATACTATGGAGTCAGTTATAATCTACACGTCACGACATACATCTAGTGCCAAGATATTGAACCACTGATTTCATTATCAATGGAAACTGAATAAGATGCAGTATCTCGCTATGTTGAGATCATGAGGTGGTTGGCCTAAAACTACATTCAGCTGAATGAAGACAGAACCATATGTAGTTTCATACATTTTGCACATCGGGTTTCGATTCCTTCCTGAATGAACCTAAAAAGGTATACAATCGATCCTATAATCCTTAATTCTGTCACCCTGGAAACGCAAGTAAGAACCATCTGTTACCGTGCTGATATTTACATCACTGTAAGACCAGCAGCTAGAACAGGCTTCTGATATATTGTGTTTTTAATTTCTGTAATGTCACGCTTTATTTCTTTCCAGAACATCGCATCAACAAAAATACCATGAACCAAATTCACCAGTTCCAAGCAACACAGCACCAAGTCTTAATCTGGTTCCACCAGCGTATCAGTCTACTTGTGAGTGAGTGAGTGACTTTAGTCTTACGCCGCTTTTAGCAATATTCCAGCAATATCACGGCGGGGAACACCAGAAATGGGCTTCAGACATTGTACCCATGTGGGGAATCGAACCCGGGTCTTCGGCGTGACGAGCGAACGCTCTAACCACTAGACTACCCCAACGCCCCTCAGTCTACTTGTGCTTGTATTGAAGGCTATCAAAGGCCTGGCACATGTGTACCTCTCAGACCGCACATACAGGTACTAATGTGGCAGTGTCATATTTTTCGGTTTATTTGTGTAAATACGGTATCGTCAACCAGTTTGGTTGTGGTACTTTTATTAGATTACACATGGTATTTGTCTCCAGCTGGATTGTCAACGATCACTCAGTTCTTGTGACCAAAACATGGTCATCATGATGCCACCCAGGACCAAAGCATTTGGTGACAGAACGTTTCAGACAACAGGCCCGTGTCTGAGAAATAATCCAGCTATGTACATTCGCTTCATTCAAGGACTTGCACAAATATTCATATAAATGAAAAATTGAAAATACTGAAGACTAGATGTTTTAGGAGACCTATTATGTACAGAGACTTGATCGATGTGTCCGTTACCTCGTGTTTTCAAGCCCAAAGTGGTTATGAGAAGTAGAGTACTCTACATTAGTGAGTGAGTTGGGTTCTACGCCGGTTTTAGCAATATTCCAGCAATACCACGGCGGGGGACACCAGAAATGGGCTTCACACATTGTACCCATGTGGGGAATCGAACCCGGACCTTCGGCGTGACGAGCGAACACTTTAACCACTAGGCTACCCCACCTCCCCACTCTACATTAGCACTATTGGTATACGCCTGATATGTAACTATGTAACATAACCATACCTATATTGACTTCAGTCAATCTGGATTAGTAGAATTTCGCTGTGTTCGTCCAACCGAATACAGTCGAAATTCAATGAAAGTAAGTTTTGAGTTCATGGTCTTACATTATATTTATCATGTGAATCTTCACTCCGGTAAACAATGTCAAGGTTTGGATAACAAATCACATCCCATATATGTGATTACTGTGTATTAAACATACATACCAACTACAAATGACAGACACAATAGGCCAAGCATTGTTGTTTCCTCGGTGAACTCTATGTTAATGATTGTATGCTTTTGTACTGCTCCACTTCTTAACTGGGATATTTTAAAAATCTATGCTACACAAACTTGTTTTTGTAATATGCTCAGTGTACATAGAATTTATGTCTGATTATCCCTATCAAACGTTGACTAGTATATATACACAGATAACAGACAGATGGTTTTTCCCAGGAAACCGCTTTTGAGGTATTCAGACAGGGATTGGCTATCTCAGTTTCAGGAAAGTATATTAGGATATGTGTATTTTTATTCCTTCATAAAAACCGTCTCATGTCTAATATGGTCTGATGGTCATTATTGGTGTCCAAGACATTGGTTCCAGATCCTGACAAACAGTATGGTTCTGTGTTGAAATGTCACATACTAGATTGGTAGGAAATACGTCGCCGTTTTTGTAAAGAAACAGTTTATAATAAACACTTGTATACGCGTATATACATGGTGGAAATGCGAAAAGGTTTTCAAATATGTTATCCGTTATTGTTTGCGATTAGAAATTGTGAATATTACGACCTATTCGACAATGTTTCACTATCTTATGGTAACGCCCATGGACGTGTTTCGGGACCAGTGTCTCTTATTGTGCAGGTAGATTTAATCTAACATACGTAAGATGCAATACTTTTATCTGTATTTACCCGTATTTTGATCACCCACTCTTATCAAATCACATGTACCACCATACAAACGGAGACCCGTGAAGATCCGGGTTAGAATTGGTCTTCAGTAACCCATGCTTGTCGTAAAAGGCGACTAACGTGATCGGGTGGTCAGGCTTGCTGACCTGCTTGTCACATGTCATCGGTTCCCAATTGCGTAGATCGATCCTCATGTGTTCATCACTAGATTATCTTGTCCAGACTCGATTATTTACAAATCGCCGCCATATAGCTGGAATATTGCTGTGTGCGGTGTTAAACAACAAACCATCCAACCATACACACAGTGGCATAGAAGCAGCTAATTACAAAGTGAAATTCACAAAAAATACCGTTGTCATCAATATCTTCATCAATACATATTACAAGATTCTGTAAACACAGAGTACCAAAGTTCGCAATAACAATCTCATCGACGTTCTGATCACACAATAGACTTATCTTAAGTAGATATATGTTTAAATTCGACAGAGCCAGTCACAAATCATCAAGTGGGTGACTTATATGCTCGTCTTTTATATACTCAGGTAAGAAACCTTTACCTTCCACCTGGTTAAATCTTAATAATGTGCTGTTACATCTTAACTTCCAGCTATTTCTAAACTTATTTCTAAACTTCTTAACTATATGCTACTTCCATTGGCATTACCTTCGGGTTAATGTGGAACATGTCATACTTTGGTCTACCTTTCAGATATTCTCGTATACTATTTTTTCAGGATAGATTACTTCTGTTTGATAAACGTTTAACGCTGTCTACCTATAAATACATATTGTGACTGGCATGATGTATATCTTGTATGGATACCCAATCCAGGTAATGTATTGATTGTAGTGTGTTGTATTCAAGAGTATTGCAGTCAATTATATGTGAATTGTTGTCTTACGTGGGCTGTGGGCTGGCCTGACGGTTGAAGCGTTCGCTCGTCACGCCGAAGATCCGGGTTCGATTCCCCACATGGGTACAATGTGTGAAGCTCATTTCTGATGTCCCCCGCCGTGATATTGCTGGAATATTGCTAAAAGCGGCGTAAAACCAAACTCACTCACTCACTCACTGTTGTCTTACGTTGGCTACGTTCAAACGGGTTTCATACTAACCTAGCCTAATATTTGGGTATTCTCTTATGTTATTGATTTATAAATGTTGATTGTAAATATTATATTGTACGCTAATTCTTTTATATCATTAATGTCCCTGGTGTATATGTACGTCTATAAATGATTGTAACATTCTATAAAACTTGATAGTAAATATTCTGTTGTAACATATATGAGTGAGTGAGTGAGTATGGTGTTACGCCGCTTTTAGCAATATTCCAGCAATATCACGGCTGGGGACACCAGAAAAGTGCTTCACACATTGTACCCACGTAGGGGAATCGAACATGGGTCTTCAACCTGACGAGCGGACGCTTTAACCACTTTGCTATCTCACCGTCCCATAATGGGTCGAACCCCGGTTCGCCCGATTACATTTCTTGGTCTGTCGGCACGGTTCCGGGGTAAAACTCGTTACTTGGAGTTTTTCTTCCATCTCAGCCTGGCACACCGTCATATAAGTACAATACCTTACAAAGTGTTAAACCCAACACACTCACTCACCCACAGTAGTAGAGTCTCAGTTAAGTTGTTGTATGGTGCGGGTGGTGGGGTAGCCTAGTGGTTAAAGCGTTGGCTCGTCACGCCGAACACCCGGGTTCGAATCCCCACATGGGTACAATGTGTGAAGCCCATTTCTGGTGTCCCCGCCATAATATTGCTGGAATATTGCTAAAAGCGGCGTAAAACCAAACTCAGTCAGTCAGTGTTGTATGGTGCAGATGGCAAAAGCATAAAACCACTACATCTATCTTTACTTTTTGTGACATTTTAACATCATTCTCTGAGGAGTTCGTGTTTGGGAGCAAAACACCAACAGTAATTAAGAGTATTTATTGATTGAACCTCTTCGATCGTTATTGTGAGTGAGTGAGTATGGTTTTACGCTTTTAGCAATATTTAAGCAATATCACGGCGGGGGACACCAGAAATAGGCTTCACACACTCTACCTATGTGGGGAATCGAACCCGGGTCATCGGCGTGTTGAGCGAACGCTTTAACCACTCGGTTACCCACCGGCCCTTCGTTCGTTATAAGTGTGATGGAATCATAATCAGGTACTTGATCGAAATTGATTTACATAGAAATGAAATGGAACTATAACTCTGAGTATGACAATACTTAGGGTGGTAATATTTCTTTGTATATGTGCAGAACACAGTATCTATCCACGAACACTACCAAACAGGCTACTGGGCAACAGAAAATATACACTTGAAACGGGGATTGACACGAACAGTCGACGAAACACTGCACTCTTAAAGTCCGAATCACAGCTAATGTATATGTCACAGCTAGGCTGCATTCACATTCACACATCTGTAGTACTTTCATGATTAAATGCATCGTCCTCAACACACATTTTCCTGTTTTATAGAATTAACAGACTGATTTAATATTTTTGGCCTAAAAATACAAGCGTCGGATAAATATGTCCTCATTGACACTCATATACTAATGCCAATAATGGTTGTCACCCCCTTAAAATTTTTTATTGGAGAGGGGGTGTGGGGTGTGGGCGTGGGGTTGAAGTGGGGAGGGGGGTGACAACCATTATTGGCATGAGTATATTTGCATGCTACGTTTAGAAAAATATTGCTAGGGTTGTCATTAAAGAATAAAAAAGATCGGTCACTGTTCGTCTTGGCATATTTAATGAATTGATAAGTTTAGGTGCCGTTCAATGAAACTTTCAAAACAGACATCTGTTTCAAGGAACTGGTACGACCAAAAGTGGTGATCATTAGCTGAAGGTTCAGCGCAATACTTTGCGGCGTTATTCCACTATCTTACCATGAGGCAAAACACCCCCCAACCAACCCCAAAATATCCCCACCCCCATACCCCGAAATCTACACCAAAAAAAAAAAAAAAATGTGACCAAAACATCATACAAGGTCCATGTTATTAGTTATTTTATTGTAACTTGGGAGTGTTGAGGGATCATCTACCAAGGACACCATCGGGGAAGTAGTCGGGGCAGCGTACACTGTGTTCTATCACGTGGTTTAAAGCTGTGGAACATAGAAATAGTTTAATTGTAATGAGACTGCCTCAGTAATAAAGAAATCTGATTCGAACTGTGAAATCATTGGAACATTTCCTTCATGAACAATTTGACTCCGAATACTAGAATTTCAATATTTGAAACACCCTGCTAAAGCTGTCCTCACTTAGGATGGAAAATGTTGTATTCTTGACAAGTGGAATTTCATTAGTCCTCAGTGAAACATTAAAACGTTGTCTGGTAGACATGATGAAGACCTTTCCAAAACTGACGCATCAGTGACATTTTGACTTGTTATATATTTCCCCATGTTGTTTCTCAGGTGAACAATTAACTAGCCTATGCATGTATTTGTGATGGATGCTCATAGCACATGCGCAGTGAAATAGGTTCGCGCAGCTTGGAAGCGGGTTGTCCGGTGAATACTCGGTGAAGGCTTTGATGTGAGCTATTTTTTCTAATGTTTTGTTGATATTTCACAGGCGCGAGCTTTTTATATGTTATGACGGTAGATTACCGATTTAACTGTTTATTTAATTTCATTTGTCTATTTCACCACACGTTCTTCTTACCGAGTCACTTTCTCAGTTCGATACTTAAAAGCAATGTCATTATTTAGCATTGACAGAATTTCTAACTGTGATATAGATATGTCGTTTTCACAGACAAAACTCAATGTCTGTTTTATTGACACCTATGTGTCTGCCTGCCCGTCTGCTAATGACAATATTCAAAACACAACTTCGATCACTGACCACATGCAATTTGAACTTAACACCTATCAGGCTATACACCATAAACAAAACGCATTGATTTATGGCCCGAGTTTGGTCTCGGTCACGTTATGTAATTACACAGACAGGCAGGTGTGATACTTGTACACATGACATGTTATGATGTCTGTTGATTGCAAAATGTTATACACAAAAAATGAGCATGTATTTACAAAACTCAACATCTCTAAATATACACACACAATGAGCCGTGAGGGCATCTGCAAATGAACCAGCCGTTACACTTGAGTGCACACCCACCCGCTCTGACTGGGTTCGGTATCGCGGCTGCTTCGTTTCTAGGGAAGTAAACCCAAGTACAAAATATTGCACTTTTGATTTGCGATTGTACCAAATAATTTTGTTTATATGGTTTTTCATAATCAGCAATGTATACTATATGTCATGAATAAGTGATAATTGGGTTTTAATTATTTTTGATTTTTTGGTTGCGTGTGTCCTTTAAGTCTGGGCTAGTACAAGCAGCCGCACATACACATAAACACGCATGCACGTCGTCATATGAGCGAAATATTCTCAAGCACGACGTAAAACCCAATTGCACCTCACCTAAAAAGTTTCTTCAGGTAAGTTACCGCAACACCGGAGCAGTCAAAAGTTCATGTGGGAATGGTTGGCTCCCATCTGTATAATACACAGGGTATCCGTCGTGGCATATCAACAGTGCTTTTTTATGAGTATCTAACATTCCGTCCATATCATTAAATACCCTGATTGCCAGTGTAGTCTTCGAAATGCGTTTTTTTAAATAACAAACAAAACAAAATTTTAAACAAAACGTGAACAAAATAGCACATGACTCTTGTTGTTATTTACCCAAAGAATAATGACATGGGCTTATCGGTGCTATGTTTTATTGTAACTTGGGAGTGTTGAGGGATCATCTACCAAGGACACCATCGGGGAAGTAGTCAGGGCAGCGTCCACTATGTGTGATCACATGAGCAGAAGCTGTGGAACAAAGAAACAGTTAAATTGTAATGAGACTGTGTGAGTAATAATGAAATATACACAACTCTGAATAGGAGTGCACAGAAATCTCATTGGACCTGTGAAATCATGGGAACCTTTCCCTTATGAACAGTTTGACCCAGAAGATTTCAATATTTAAAACACTCTACTAATGCCGTCCTCACTTAAGCTTTAAACAGATTTATTCTAGATGCATTAGTGACACAATGATGCCCGTGGTTATTTCTTATATACTCATGCCAATAATGGTTGTCACCCCCTTCAATTTGTTTAATTGGAGAAGGGTGTGGGGTGTGGGGTGTGGTGGTGGGGTGTGGGGTGTGGGCGTGGTATGTGTGTGGGGTGTGTGTGGGGAGGGGGTGACAACCATTATTGGCATGAGTATATGTGTTAGTCCTCAGTGAAACATTAAAACGTTGTCTGGTAGACATGATGAAGACCTTTCCAAATTTGACGCATTAGTGGCATTTTGACTTGTTATATATTTCCCCATGTTTTTTCTCAGGTGAACAATTAACTAGCCTATGCATGTATTTGTGATGGATGCCGGTAAGACTTTTACCTTCTTGCTTTTCGTGAACACCTGATATCTTTGCTTGATAATGATTTATAGACACAATATCATGATGCAGCCACAATCGTAGAATCGCCTCCGTTTGGCAGAGCTTTCTTATGGACATGGAAGACGTTCTGCCGCTTATATATTTGTTTAGTGCAATCTCCAGGTAAGTACGAGGGATTATAGATCGGTGCTTGAGCTGGCAATTGCCGGTCCAGGCTCATTCAATGATTATTTACTTCAAGTATTTACCTTGGAAATTCTGGCCAGCCCGGGACTTAAGGCCCTTGACGTATGAGCAGTACTCGCATTCGTTAATGAATGTGCCGTCGGTGGTGCAGACGAAGTTGAAGGTGCGGGAACACACAGTGGTTATGGGGCCACCAAGAGGGCCTTCCAGGGCCAGGTTCGTGGCATTTTTGGCATACTTCGCACAGTCAGGCTGAAATATTGATACAAGAAGACATGAAACCCACAAGGAGTTTTCCCGGCTAGAAGTTGCCATGGGGAGACAAGACTGTCTAGTCGTCTTGATTCTCTACAACCTACCCTTGGGTAGCTGGAGTATTGGTTTCGTGTTATCACACTCCGATTACTGCGATATTTGCTCATATCAGTCACAAGATTGTCTAGTCGTTTTGATTCTCTACAACCTACCGTTGGGTAGCTGGAGTGTTGGTTTCGTGTTATCATACCCCGATTACTGCGATATTTGCTCATATCAATCACAAGATTGTCTAGTCGTCTTGATTCTCTACAACCTACCCTTGGGTAGCTGGAGTATTGGTTTCGTGTTATCACACTCCGATTACTGCGATATTTGCTCATATCAGTCACAAGATTGTCTAGTCGTTTTGATTCTCTACAACCTACCGTTGGGTAGCTGGAGTGTTGGTTTCGTGTTATCATACCCCGATTACTGCGATATTTGCTCATATCAATCACAAGATTGTCTAGTCGTCTTGATTATCTACAACCTACCCTTGGGTAGTTGGAGTGTTGGTTTCGTGTTATCATACCCCGATGACTGCGATATTTGCTCATATCAACCACTAGACTGTCTAGTCGTCTTGATTAACTACAACCTACCGTCGAACAGCTAGAGCTTTGCTTAGTGTGGCAATATGAACTAGGAACCGATTTCAATTACCTGTTCAAAACTCTACAAGAAGGTTTCATGTTGCTGTTGATTTTTATATGCCTGGAGTATTTGAGCATCTTCCATATCTTACTTTGCAAACACTTACCTCTACGGGTACAGGGCAGGAATCGGTATTCGACACAATGTACAGGAGGGTGCCATTCTTGGCAGCGTCACACTTTGCCAGGTTGAAGCGACATTGGTTATCTGTAGTCATAAATAAACAAATAGTTAAATAAATAAAGACAGCATAATGTTGTGTAAAATAATAACCTGGAATTGAACGTCCAAGAATTGACTTTTCACATGATACCATTATGTGTCTAAGGATGTAGGGACCTTTTAATTCAGTAAGACTGGGCTTAATAAACATGTGGGCAACATATAAGTTGTGGTGAAAGTAAAAAGCTCCAAAGCAAGATGTCCTTTTTTTTAAAGCCATGAGCCTAAATATTCGTGAATATCTATCCTGCAGGAATGTATTTTTAGGGGCAGAAGATTTTTGTTTGTTCAATATTGAAGAATAATTACGTTTTTACAAGCCTTTTTGGGATAAAAAATATTTTTTGATGAGATCAGGGATACCCTCCCCGATCTCTTCCGCCCCCATCATCCCAAATATCAACTAACCCCTAACGCTGTTTATCACTTTTGTGAAACGAATGAAAATGACCATTTTTACTTACCAGGTGATTAACCTCAGGATGTGCTTACTGTCATGACTGTTAAAGGGGCACTCCGAGATGATGTAGCTGTCCTGAACTCAGTGTCCCGACTGTTATGAGCGAATGGGTGGGGTCTCGTTCCGAGTGTTCCAGTATATATCCAGTTGAGGAACACCAACAATCGGCCACACGTATATTATCCATGGTGGGAATCGAACCGGGATCTCGGCTTATCTAGCGAGCTCTTTAGCCACCAAACTGACATAATTTCAAGGAATGGTACATTGAGAAAACTTAAATCCTCACCGTACACTACGCTGTTCGAAGCACAGATCGGGGACCTCACTTCCTGATCGTCACAGATCTTGTCACACATGTTTGACCGAGAGCTGCAAGCGCCAGTAGATTTCACGTAGATAGGACCACTTCCTTTCATGATATTCTGGCAAGAAGCCATTTCCAACTTGCAGTCATTGTCTGTAATAAAACACATACAGGTCTTATAAACCGACAGTGACGTCACTCTAATGTTCTTGCAAAGGCAGTATTTCTCGTCATATCCCGATGGCCCGTCGATGAGGGGGCATTACTTGAATATTGTCCCTCTGCCCCGGGATATTACTTGTTTTGAACATTGATATAACTTTGTGTTGCTATCACTCAATGCAATCGTAAAACAACACATTGAAAACTTCCAACATATAGTGCCGATATCTGGTTTCGAACCTGCAACCCTTCGCTTACTAGCTTGGCGGCGTTATCCACTAGGCTACGAAGGATCGCTGTGAAGAATAAGATTGTTTGTCAGCATGAACCGTGTGTTCCTCACAAGACGCTTAGTGCGGGGCAGCGCACGTGCAAGACAAGGGTAGCGCGTGCAAGTCTCATCCCAGTTGATTTCAACAGTAAATACCAAATATTGAAATTATATCTTCGGTCGGTTTATAAGTTGGATATAACATAACCCGTGGGCATTATTGAAAAGTAAGCCCTCTTCCCTCGGGAAGCGGGCTTACTTTTCAATAATGCCCGCGGGTTATGTTATATCCTACACATAAACCACGAGCAGGTTATAGCAAAAAAGGGAAACCTATGAAGATCCGGGTTAGAACTGGTCTTCAACAACCCATGCTTGTCGTAAGTGGGTTCGGGATCGGGTAGTTGATGATGTTGATCACTGGATTGTCTGGTTCAGACTCGATTATTTACAGACCGACGCCATATTGCTGGAATATTGCTGAGTGCGGCGTTAAAAAACCAAACAAACAAAAAAAGGGTAAACATTGTGATGTAGCAACCACTGTGTAACTTATTCATCACCGTCTGATGTCGCCGAAGCAAAACTGTTATCTGCATGCAAGTGAGGTGACGTGAGGTGACGTGAGGTGACGTGAGGTGAGGTGAAATTGGGTTTAACGTCGTGAGAATATTTCGCTCATATGACGACGCGTATGCGTGTGTATGTGTATGTGCGGCTGCTTGTATTAGCCCAGACTTAAGCTGGCTTTATAGTGCCAGCCCACTGAGATACCATGCCGCAGTGAAGCATGAATACCCCACTCATACACATTATACTGACTCCGAGCCGACCAGTCCTTGTTGTACCCATTAATGCCGAGCGCCAGGCAGTGACCAAAAGTACCATATTTTAACGTCTTTTGGTATGACGCGGTCGGGGATCGAACCCGCGACCTTCCGCTCTCCGGGCGGACGCTCTAACCACTACACCACGGAGGCGGTTTCTGCATGCAAGTATGTATAATTCTTGAAATGTAACAGTAATGACGACAAAAACTCAGTTAGTCGTAATTATAGTTCACAATAAACAAATTTCGTATCCGTGAAGAGAAAGAATATCCATATTTCAGTACTTTAAAGTTGGAGAGACGTTTCCATTTAAGAACTCATTTTAAGCCAATGTAAACAATGGCCATTTGACTTAATGTTTTTCAGATTAGAATTTGTGGATTTAAGTTTCAAATTTGGAAAATGGTAAGTATGATATAAAATGCACTGAATACAAGGCAGCAGTGTCCGTCAACAAAATGTGCGCAGTGCTGTGTTCATGTGATTTATGCCCGGAGTGGCTACTCCCGGTGTGACAGTGTAAAGAGTGAGTGAGTGACTACTGAATATCGCAGCATCGTCAAAGATGCAGCTACTCGCGGCAACCTCGTAACGATGTAGCAATTGAAGACGCTAATCATGCGACATGAACTACGAAGACACGCATGTAATGCCATCAGCAAGTAGTCTGTACTCTTACCGTATGTGAGACCATTGCTTCCACACACAGGTTTGCGGTCGTCTTGGCAACTCGACGGGCAAAGAATCGGACTGGCTCCCAAAGCACCTGAAACAGGTGACTAAACAAATAAATGAGTGAGTGAGTTTATTTTTACGCCGCTCTCAGTAATATTACAGCTTTATGGCGGCAGTCTGTAAATAATCGAGTCTGGACCAGACAATCCAGTGATCAACAGCATGAGCATTGATCTACGCAATTGGGATACGATGGCATGTGTTAACCATGTCAGCGAGCCTGACCACCCGATCCCGTTAGTCGCCTCTTACGACAAGCATGGGTTACTGAAGACCAATTCTAACCTGGATCTTCACAGCCGATTAAACAAATAAAGATTCTTCACACAGAGGATGGTATTACGATGCGAAAAGCCAGTGAGTTCATGACTGACGCCACTTTTTACTTTGAGTGAGTTAAAATTTATCGTCACATCGGCAATATTCCAGCCATATCGTGACGAGAACAATTTATTCTATACATAGTAATTCAAGTAATGGTAAATTGTAAATACCTGTCAACGAAGGACAGTAAAATAACTAGATTATCACAGATTCGAATTTAAAACTTGCTATTAAATCTAAAACAGTTTAGCTATAGATGACAATAAAATATATAAACAGGCTATATATTGCCAACAACTGAAGGTAGATCATCATACTAGGGACCATGGGGACTTACAGTACTTTTGCTTCCTGCATGGACCCTAGCTGGATTTAAACCATCCCTTCAGCCGTTAGCAATTTAGGAAATCTAGCCATACATTAAAAAGACAGGTATTCAACGATTAAAAACGTGAAACGTTTTAGTTTACTTTGAATGTTTGGGACTTACGTACCCTCTCAGGAGGACAATAATTTTACAGTACTTTAACCCCTTTGAGGATACAGCCACTCACAGTTGAAGTTTTTTTACTTTGAAATGGGAAGATATAACGGTTTATTACCCACGTGGTCAACGTATGGGTAGTTTATATACTACTGCATTCTTACCTGGGATATCTTTAAAAATATCAATAGTGCACAAATGTGATTCTCATAATATGTGCAGTGTATAATTAAATAAAATGGTATGTCTATCTATCCCTACCAAAATCTGAGTAGCATGTATACAGATAACTGACAAATGTTGTTTTCTCAGGAACCTACGAATGCCACCCACATAGTCCAGTTACACTTGATTACCACGTGAATATAACATAGAATTTGGGGTGATCATGCGGGTGTTTGGCTATCATACTTTGAAAATGTCTTAAGGATGTGTTTTTGTTTGTTTGTTGAAATGAATACAGCATATCTAGTAATTAGGCACATTGTGCTTATAAATACAATGGTCCTGTGTCTCATACTGTCAAATGACCATGACCTTGGCCCGTGCCTACTGATAACCAAGTCTCTGAAATATCTAGGTTGGTACAGCATGAGTCGACGTTTATGACTGGTGTTAGGTGCATAAGAAACACTAGATCGGCGTTTGTATAGGAGTTTAGGTTTTGGTATTAAATATGTCGGTGTTATGCATGGTAATAGTTCGCGTTTGTATATGAAACAAATTAATGCTTCTTCATAAATTCATATGCAAATATGCCCGGTAGTTTAGATGACACGTGTGTTCCGTATAACCGAGGACATTGTTTTGTGTTCTTTTCTGTGATTTATCGATTTGTATGATATGGTTTCAGTTGGTCTTCCAGGTTAGAATTGGTCATCAGTAACCCATGCTTGTCGTAAGAGGCCACTAACGGTCAGGCTCGCTGACTTGGTTGACACATGTCTTCGTATCCAAATGCTTAGATCGATACCTATACTGCTGATCTGTGGATTGTCTGGATTTGATTATTTACAGACCGCCTCAATATACATGCAATATTGTTGAGTGAGGCGTTAAACAACAAACAACAAAACAGTAGCATGGTTTTCGTATTCTTTATTCTTATACCACTTCTATATTTTTAAAAAACGAGGTTGGAAACACCGATAAGTTAGACGCATGAGCAGATGATGTACACAGAGCGAATAAGGGAAGCTTGCGTGTATCTAACGGACCAGAGGCATCCATGGGTAGACATTAAGCCGGGTTTCCATGTGCGCGCAGTGCGTAATGCGTAGTGCGTAGTGCGTAATGCGTATACAACACTTTATACTAAAATAGTAATAGCGGTTTCCATGCACGCGTAAAACGTGATGCGTGATACGTATTGCGTAGTGAGTGAATTTGCTTAGGCTCAAAAGTGTCCGAATACACATCACGGAGCTATACGGAGGCCGGAAGTAGGGATTCCCAAGGGGTTTTTCCAATGTCACGTACTTTTAATTGCAGACACAGGTTGCAAAATGCCAAGAAATTCGGTATCCGAAATACTTCTTGAACAATTAATTGAACTCGTTAGATGCAATCCAGCTATTTACAATGCACCCAGGAAGGACCACAAGGATATTACGAAGATAACCAATATTTGGAACGCAATTACAAGGAAACTTCAGGAAAACGATTACTCACATGGGTACAATATGTAAAGCTAATTTCTTGCGTCCCCCGCCGTGATATTTCTGGAACATTGCTAAAAGTGGCGTAAAACTAAACTCACTCATTCACTAACAATCCCGACGCAAGTAAGAGCTCAACTCACGTGTTCGTTGCAACGTCTATCAGAACACTTTTCACATAAATGCACGTTCACGTGACAACAATTCCGATACAACATGTGATTGGAGTTCTCGGTAAAATTAGTCCGCGTTTATGTATACACTCGCTCGGCGTTTATGTATACACTCGCTCGGCGTTTATGTAGGGAAAAATAGTGAACAATAAATACTAGATTGCCATTTGAATATATCTACGGTCCCTGGTAATACATATGCTGTCGATTATGTAGGGATAATATTTCACAATAAATATTAGGTCGGCGTTTGTATATTTATGTACGACACTATTGGTCGATCGTGGTGGAACTGATTAACCATACTGCACAAATCAAAGAAGCGGGGGAATACTTTCGTGGTGGTAAAACAAATATTACCATAGATCCTGCTTTGAGTGGCATTTTAGAAGCTGGGAAGTACAATAATGAACAAATTGTATAGATACCGACTTCTTATGTTTAGTCATATATTCTTGTACCGTTTCCAGAACTTCCTGCTTGACAACGGAACACGAATCTGCACTCACGTTATTCGTAAGATTTGCCATTATTACCATGGCGTCGTAACGGTTACAAAGCGCAAAAAAATAGAACATGTCTTACATGTCAATACCAGTATGTCATTTTGTTGCATATAAACACCCCCCCACCCCTTCAAATTATATTCGCTTTATTCGCTTCAATACGTTGCAAGGTACGATTTCAAGAATTGCCTCTTTAGTATATTGAAATAGATTTATTTACCAGCTACATACTTACCAGATATTTGAGGTCAAAGCAATGGTTTATCAGTTGCTAATCTGGTGACAGGGATCTGTTGCTGTTGAAGCGGTCGAGGCCAACCGTTTTAATTCTTTTGTTTAATAGTGTAAAGAGTATCACAAACCCTGCTTGACATCTGTGAACAAACGGATACATAATTTTCGGATTTGAAAATATGCACCATCAAAACCTCATAAATAACAATTTTGGACAAGCAATGGCTATTATATTATTTAATCGCCGTTCTAGAAGTTGGTAAGTCAGAAATGAAACATACAACTTTATGGATGACAACTGCTTGTTTATTGCATAGAGCGACGTTTCGATGTATATTCTTACACCGCTAGCAAGCTAAAAGTATATAACTCTGAATAAATGTGATTATGTATAAGTATGTACTTCTGAGGGCAGATATGTCATATTATGTACATCTGACGACACTCATATATGATTATATACCCTGAGGAAGTATCATTATACACTTCGGAGACACGAGTCCGCTACAATTCATACCTGCAAAAGTACTTATACCTCAGTTTTTCACCTTTCAAGAGCGCGTATGTGTCACATTGTATGCCTTCAAGGAGAAAGTGTGACTAAGTATACCTTTGGAGACATTTTAATATGCCACACGTTTCCTCAAAAACATCTAAACAACACTAACTACCTCTTAAAAGGCTGCCACAGTGACGACAGGTCATCATCACTTTACCGGCGATGGCTCTAGGAGATACATTACAGTATATCCTGAGGACACATGCAGGTCCCCCATGACGGATGCAGCGTCCGAGGAAGGAAGGCCTACACATTGACTTTATTTACTCTTTGCGTTCAAAGAGACTATGGTTAATGACATAATAGTTTGGAAAATGCGGTCATCGTGAAATATATTAGTTGTCGCTGATGGTATTTTAATTGGAGTTTTAAATCTATGATTAATCTGGTTTTATTGGCTGTGCTTTGCACATGGTACATGACATTGCACTTCAAATGTGAAAGGTATGCAAGAAGTGTCTTACATTCTTTTGAATATACCAAGAGAAGCATTGTTCCGTTGAAAAAGTATTGACTGAGGATATCATTTGGTAAGTTGATGTCTTGGGAATCATAACTCACACAGTTTGCATAAAATAGTATTTGTATATTGCCTGACCCCGTTTGTGGTATATACAAGACAGACATCCTCTCTGTGTGACAAGGGTTATCTTTACCTTGTCAATTGTTTTTACCATATATGCGAATGACCAGAATAAGCGGGACGCGAATCAAATTTGCTAGGGAAACCAATCACCCAAACCTAGTCTACACTGAAAAACATTCTTCCTTTATCATATGATAAAAGCAAATTAAGATAAACAGAGGTCACCTTGATAGGCACTAGAAATCAGACAAAAAGTACGCGTTGTCATTTCTCGGGTAGATCTCTTGGACAACAGACATGTTGGTTTTTATTGGTCTCTCGCTTCTTGCTGGTATGTATGTTGATCTTTTGCTGTTGGAAGAGTCGATAGGCCGAACTATCCTTTTGTTGTACAAGGATTACAGGGGATCGGCAAATATTGCCACCTGTTTCTTTTTGTAGTTAGGAAATAATCATACTGTGGTTTCATTGCAGAACTGTCTCACTCATAGACTTATCAGCGCTAAATTAAATTTGAAACAGAAAAAGTCTATGTTGCCCCATAGGTGCCATGTACGTTTTGGTCACTTTCTGTCGATTTTTCTGCCTCGAAATGTATTGAACAGATGCTTCTAGCACTGTAGACGGCCACTCACCATTGTAAAATCTAAATGGTACGTTATGCAATATTTGATAAACCATTTAGTTTATACTACAATCTTGGAACTTCTAAGAACAAAGGTAAACATGGCTGACGCTTTTATGTGAATACGAAGCATCAACTTTGTGTATGTATGATTTCTACTGTGGTCTTAAATACTCACCGAATGCCTTTACTTATCTAGCGTTAAGCTAGTTTGTAAATTTTCTTAGGATCCATCTGTTTCTATGGCTCTTAAGGTCTGTCATCCAAATAGTTCCAGTGGGCCACTAAAACAGGGCAGTTCACATTGCATTAATAACACGTATTGCTCTTTTGCACCACGGATTTATATAGGTGAACACGTTCCTTTATGTATCTTTCATCGCCATGTTGGATTTGTGGAACCTGGTTAGGTGTGGACTAAGAATAGTTTTGCTTTTTTCAATTTCAGTTGCACTTGGTGCCCCATCGACCTGCATTCGGAACTGCCAGTCAACGAACTCGCCTGTGTGTGGATCGGATGGACGCACGTATAGTAAGTTTTACTTATGTGGTTTTTTTGGCACTCTCTTGAGAAAGGGTGGTGCGGCACACTTCATTTTCACGAAAGTTTCAATAGTCATTTAATACAATTTCAGGACAAAAGGAGGGGGTGGGGTGGGGTGTGGATCGCATTGGGTGCGCACCTGCAAACCCCCTATCCGCCTATGACCATGACCTTAGTATCACTCAGCGCAAGGGACATATCACACATGTATTCGTGAGATCGCATTCCACCGCCTGATAACATCAGTCAAGTACCAGGTTCTGATCACAAAAGAGACAATACAGAATATTTACTGACACCAAACAACTTCCATTTGAAAAAAAACTATTATGTTTTAAAGACCGGTTTCGTCTAATGTCTCAGTTAGATATCTTATGATGTTTACAGACGGATTGAAAACAGTACATCCGGCATTTGTGCAGTATAGAAATCGGAGAGGAATACGAAATTCGACTTAGCTCGCCATAATTCTCGGCTGTATTGCTATCGTAAGGTTAAATGGGTATGCAATATACATGTATATGTATTATGCGTTAAATGTAGGACGCATGACCTTGACCCTTGCCCATCATGTTTATATTAGTCTCCCATCTTAACTAATACAATAAATGTCACTATCATTTAAGTAACTATTCAGTCATTGCACAGATAGCCCAATTTCTCTGTGCAGACGTGTCCCCCTTAACATTGTACGGATCCCGTGCTTGTCAGTTTGGATCCCGAGTCGCCCCAGAGAGAGAGCTACAGGAAATTGCTGACTTTTACATTTTACAATGTCGATTTTCATGTATGTGTTTTCAGACGAGCCTGTGTATTTGAAACAACGTCGGTTACAAATGAAACTTATTGTTATCATATAAATAATAACGCCCGCGATATGAAATGACATCTTTCTCTTCACAGGGGCTTGTATTGCTGAAAATAATACGTCCTGGGTCCTACAAGCGTACACTGATATCCATATACATATAAAGAAGGAACAAGCGTACACTGATATCCATATACATATAGAAAAGGAAAAAAAGGTACACTGATATCCATATACATATAAAGAAGGAACAAGCGTACACTGATATCCATATCCATATAAAGAAGGAACAAGCGTACACTGATATCAATATACATAAAAAGAAGGAACAAACGTACACTGATATCCATATACATATAAAGAAGGAACAAGCGTACACTGATATCCATATACTTATAGAAAAGGAACAAGCGTACACTGATATCCATATACATATCGAAAAGGAACAAGCGTACACTGATATCCATATACATATAGAAAAGGAACAAGCGTACACTGATATCCATATATATATAGAGAAGGAACAAGCGTACACTGATATGCATATACATATAAAGAAGGAACAAGCGTACACTGATATCCATATACATATAGAGAAGGAACAAGCGTACACTGATATCCATATACATATAGAGAAGGAACAAGCGTACACTGATATCCATATACATATAAAGAAGAAACAAGCGTACACTGATATCCATATACATATAAAGAAGGAACAAGCGTACACTGATATCCATATACATGTAGAGAAGGAACAAGAGTACACTGATATCCATATACATATCGAAAAGGAACAAGCGTACACTGATATCCATATACAAGTAGAGAAGGAACAAGCGTACACTGATATCCATATACATATAAAGAAGGAACAAGCGTACACTGATATACATATATACATCTGTACTTAACAATAGAATAACATTTTGGGCAAATACATACGAAAAGGTTGTGGAATCACAAGCAGGGTTTAGGGAAGGTTATAGTACAATTGATAATATTTTTATTCTACAATCTGTTATCCAACGTTATCTATGTAAGAAAAAGGGGAAGTTCTATGCTATATTTGTCGATTTCAAAAAGGCTTTTGATTTTGTTAACAGGGATAAACTATGGGCCATTCTCAAATATAGAGGCGTTTCACCTAAGATGCTTAAAGCCTTAACTTCTATCTATTAGTGTGTTAAGGGACAGGTGCGTGATATTTCTCTCTCTCAGTTGTTTAATTGCCCACAGGGTTTGCGACAAGGGTGTGTTTTAAGCCCGCTATTGTTCTCATTCTTTATCAATGAATTAGCTCTAGAAATTGAATCCACATGTTACCCAGGTGTACAGCTTCACCCTGATGTTGTACAAATGTTCCTACTACTTTTTGCTGATGATATTGTACTTTTTGCAGACTCTGTATTTGGTTTACAAAAACGTATAAATATTTTAGAAAGTTTCTGTAAAAGTCATCAATTAACTGTTAACTTGGAAAAAACCAAGATTGTTGTATTTAAAAATGGTTGTAAATTATCAAAATATGAAAAATGGCATTTCAATGGAATTCTTTTGGAAACTGTTTCATCTTACAAATATTTGGGTATTTTATTTGCACGTTCTCTATCTTGGTCTCCCCATGTGAATAACGCTGCTTTGCAAGCTAAGAAAATGGCATACGGAATTCTAAAATCTCTTTATACGTTTAATCCACTTCCTTATGATTTATTTTTAAAGATATTTGATACAAAAATTAGTCCGATTCTTTTATATGGAGCCGAAATATGGGGAGTTGATAACTTTAAAGAAGTCGAAGTTGTACATATGTTTTGTTGTAAACGTTTTTTAAATGTCAAACGGTCGACTTCGAACCATGTAGTTAGGGGAGAATGTGGCCGTTATCCAATGTATGTATGTATATATAAAAAAGTTGTTCAATATTGGTGTAAAATATGCAAAATTCCCGATTCCAGATTTGTAAAGAAATGTTATAACATGTTAGTTTTAGACTCTGTAAATGGTAAAACAAACTGGGCATCAAAAATTAAGAATATTCTTTACTCTTTTGGATTTGGCTTTATGTGGGAACAGCAGCAAAATTTATGTAATGTCGATAAATTCATATCAGAATTTGTTTTTAGATTAAGAGCAAGTTATGAACAAGAATGGCACACATCGCTTTTAAATAGTCCTAAATTTTCACTTTATTCTTGTTTTAAAATCTCATTTAATGTTGAATTTTACATAAAAGACTTATCAATTTCAACATTCCGATCGGCCCTTGCTAAATTCAGATGTTCTTCACACCGCCTCCAAATTGAAACCGGTCGCTATATTAATCAACCCAGATCAAATAGATTATGTTTTGTATGTAAAGATAACTTTATTGAAAGTGAAGTCCATTTTATTTTGGTATGTAAATGTTATCAAAATCTGAGATGTTTGTATTTACCACATAACTTTTATTCGAATCCCACTATTCATAAGTTCAATATGCTCATGTCAACTGGCAATCCATATACTGTAAGAAACCTAGCTATTTATATACACAATGCAATGAAACTTAGAGATTCACTTCTTTGCCAATAATATCATACTTCCTTTTGTATACTTTGTAAATTAACTTATTGTCTTCTAAACTATATATGCTCATATGTACCGCTCTGAAATCCTGAAATGTAGCCTGGGCCTATGGCCTCCACTACAAAGAAAATAAAGAAAGATTCAAAGATATACATATACATATAAAGAAGGAACAAGCGTACACTGATATCCATATACATATAGAAAAGGAGCAAGCGTACACTGATATCCATATACATATAGAGAAGGAACAGGCGTACACTGATATCCATATACATATAAAGAAGGAACAGGCGTACACTGATATCCATATACATATAGAGAAGGAACAAGCGTACACTGATATCCATATACATATAAAGAAGAAACAAGCGTACACTGATATCCATATACACACACGGTACATACAGAGAAGGAACAAGCGTACACTGATATCCATATATATATAAAGAAGGAATCCTTCTTTATATGTATATGGACATCAGTGTACGCTTGTAGGACCCAGGACGTATTATTTTCAGCAATACAAGCTCCTGTGCTTCTCTTTGACCTAGATAATTATAAATACGGTATGTACTAGTAACTCAAATTCATTATTTGTGACATACAGTGAATTCCTGTGATCTGTACAACGCCAACTGCAGAGCCAAGGAACTGGGTCTTACACACATCCGCTACTCTCACAGCGGGGCTTGTGGCAACCTCCTCGGCGGCCACAACACCGTCTCTTGTGGCCAGATCTGCGACGAGGAAAAGTCCCCAATCTGCGCATCCGACGGTGTTGTGTACGGTAAGGGATCTGAGGCTGGAGTTTAACGCACTAAGCAATATTTCAGCTATATTGACATCTCTTGTAAATAACATTATTCAAATATTATTCATAAGAGAGGTATTATCACCAATACAAATATTAAAGAAAAGGGTACACACCTGTATTAAAAGACAATTTCAAATGAATATTTCTATGGATATAATATTTTTACAAGTACAAAAGCAAAGGGTATTCTGTTTCCACAGACAACAACTGTCGCTTCACCCAGGCCCAGTGTGATGCTGCCAAGAACGGCACCCGTCTCTCCATTGTGTCGTACAGCTCTACCTGCCCCACGCCTGTGGAGGTAAGTAAATACTCAAGCTTTCCAACATGCTGGTATCATCACTTTATGACAGGGATTCATATAACCCGTGAAGATCCGGGTTAGAATTGGTCTTCAGCAACCCATGCTTGTCGTAAGAGGCGACTAACGGGATCGGGTGGTCATGCTCGCTGACTTGGTTGACATATGTCATCATATCCCAGAGGCGTAGATCGATGCTCATGCTGTTGATCACTGGATTGTCTGGTCCAGACGCGATTATTTACAGATCGCCGCCATATAGCTGGAATACCGTGGCAAGCACAACCACCCAGCCAACCAACCACAATGATCATATTCCCTTGTTCTAGGCTGACTGTGAGAAGTATGCGGTGAACACAACGGACATCGCTATAGAAGGACCCCTCGGTGGCACTATCAAGACATTCTGCCCGCAGAGCCAAATGTCAGTTTGTACCAACCATGGAACATTCAGAGGCGAATGCCAATTGTGCCAATACATCAACTCGTATATTGACAAAGTCAAGTACAACCCTACAATTCAAGGTATGTTTTATGCAGCTGGTTAGATGCAAACATCCACTTATAGGAATGATAGGACTAGTGGATCTTTGCGATTCGAAGCTGATTCAAAGATAGAGCATTGGGACGTCATAGTGCTGTATCACTGCTCACAAAACCACATCGCATGCACATGACATCATACATTGATACGGTTAGTGCAATAGGGCGTCATTAGTGCAATAGGGTGTCATTAGTGCAATAGGGCGTCATTAGTGCAATAGAGCGTCATTAGTGCAATAGGGCGTATTTGGTCAAGTCTATTTGAAGAGATGATGTTTCAAATTTTGTTTCTGCAATGAAAGCAGTGTACATCTGTCGAACTAATATTTTAGGAATGCTATATATACTCACAAGCAAAAGCAACGCAAATCAAGTATAAAGTAAACATGTATGTAATTTGCAACATTAAATGCAAGAAATACCAACAGGGTCAGATAAACAAAAAAATGAGAGAAGACATTTTATTGGCTGCAAAGACTGATGACATCATTAAGTTTTCGAAAGGTAAAGGTGTTACACAGGTTCTGGTCAATAGCCAAAATGTCACTCAATACCTTGTGTGACCCTGGTTTCTCTCAATTTGAATTAAGCGAGGCATTGTTGAACAAGGAGTGATAGGCACAGTCTTATACCCACTATTGGTGGTGACAATTCGTGCGTGTTCGATGTCAAAGGAAATGTGTGCATGATTCCCACATGTTCATTGGTATTGTGCGTTTTGGTGATTCCTTTTGATGTGCTTTTACTAGGGTCTTCCAAAAAACAAGATTGATAAGACCACCAGGCTTCACTATATGCTAAATACTCATATCAATTTAGGGTTCCGAGTTTGTTCCCTTTTTGGATTAAAGTTTGCGTTTCTTAAGCGTGTGAGTGTAGGTCAACGTCAAGGTTTCTTAGTACGATCTAGTGTATGAGGTATATGAACATGATTTCATCCAAGCCAATCACTCAATATCTGCTTTAAGTGGGGTAAAAGCTTATAAGCAGAAATGTCGAATAAGTTTACCACTTACCCAGGCATGGCACTCACCAACCAAAGCATATAGTCTGAGATGATTTAAAATTCGAGCCTTCCATCAAAGGATCCCCAGAATAAAGATACACAAAAGTTGCACAGCGAATTGTGGTGCCTCTACCTACCGTGATACCCGTGGCACATTCTTACAGAAGAATTAATCACATGATACATCGCAAATATAGCAACATAAGGATCTGTAAATATGATCCTCTTTCCCTCATATAATAGGGTAGCCTAGAGGTTAAAGTGTTCGCTCGTCACGCCGAAGACCCGGGTTCGATTACCCACATGGGTACAATGTGTGAAGCCTATTCCTGGTGTCCCCCGCCGTGATATGGCTGGAATATTCCTAAAAGAGGCGTAAAACCACACTCACTCACTCCTTCTTTAAATCACAATACTTCAGCCAAGAACATGACAGTGTTATAGTTTTAAGTGTAATAGATTCAGGAAAGTATGAACAATGATTTTAATCTTAAAAGGCCGAATGTGAACTTTATGGTGTTTTGGTAAATGTTCATGTATAATACATTTGTTTCAGTGCCAGACTTCAAGATCCTTTACAATGGCACTTGCCACAGCGTGGGACGTCCAGGGTACTTCCCGGGAGGCATCATGCCCTTGTAAACTGATGAAGCTGTCAGACAGCCCAAACTAAAACAGTAAACAATAAACATTTGATACTGAATATACGTTTATTTATATAAAAGCGATAAAATCCATTCCACACCCACAAGGAGTCCCTGACCAGAGCAGAGTCGATTGTTCGACTGCAACTTCATCATGAGCATGTGTTAATGCATCCCATCAAATAGAGTTCATACTAGGTAGTGTAAAGGTGAGCGTCTCCTTCCCTACCGGTGGCAATCGGCAAAAACACTTGCAAAGGCTAGTCAATTTTTTCACCTGAAACAATTTGCGGATGTAACAACAAAATTGGAATTTCATAGGATATCAGTTTGTCACTGGTGCGAAAGTTTGGAAGGTTCTCCACATGTAGGTAACACCTCTCCGTCAATTACCTTGTTTGGATTTTGCCAGCCCGAGCAGAAATTCTGATTGTAATGGCTACAGAAACAGATTCGCCGGGAGTGAGTGAGTTTAGTTTTAAGCCGCACTCAGCAATATTCCAGCTTTATGGCATATGTCTGTGAATAATCGTGTCTGGACCAAACTGATTAGGGTTAATGCATTACAAATGTATGGTATAAACAGCATCTTGAGCAAATCATATATAACTGTATATTGACCGTTAGGTTAAACAAATAAAACGCTTCCAGTAACTCTCAGGTGCCATATAAGGCATATGAGACATTATCAAGCTGCAAAACAATAACAACTGTAGGTCATGAGAGTGATTAAGGAAACTGCATTGTCATGCCATTGAACAAAACTATATTCTGATTGGTTAAATATATGTGACATTGAACAATACTAGATTTTGAACGGTTATAGCAGATTCTGATTGTAACATGACTGTGTTATATTTGGGAATACACTTTCTCAGTAAAATACAGATTCTAGTACTTTTTAGGGTTGAGTCCTATCCGAGATTCGAATCCGCACTCTCGGAGTAAATCACCTAATCGACAGCACACAAAGTCAGTTGTCTGACAACTGCTAGTCTTGACCACTTACTGTGTGTACCTCTCTGGCACAGTCCCCAAGACCAAAGCTATGAACACACAGTGGCATACACCTAGAGTGTGGGTAAGAATCCCAGATGGATCCAAACTCCTCACCCCCCCAAAACAACAACAAAAAATCAAAACCAGAAAAAAACCCACCAAAAAACGAACAATAACAAACTGAATAAAAGTAAACTAAACTAAAGTAAACAAAACTAAGTACAAAAATCTGTATTTTACTGAGAAAGTGTAATCCCAAATATAACATGTGTCAGTCATTTGCAATATGTACTACTGTTTGGGAACTGTTTTAAAGCAACTGCTACATGAGTACAACCTCAAAATAACTACAGTCCAATTATTTAAAAATATATATCTTTGAAGGGTTAAATCACAAATTCCTTTTGAAATTCTATATTTTAAACACGTTTTTGGTTTTAAACAAGTCATCACGATGGGGACATTTTAAGTTTGATTTAAGTAATGGTTGTTGCATTCATCACTATTTGTGATCTCTTGGAATGCTCTAGTTTTGGTTCTTTGTACCAATGTGTAATTACTCGTTACTCGTTACTCGTTTCAATTGACATACACCAACTGCGTAGATTATGTAACCACATCCATACTTCTAATTAAGCCTGCCAGCATTATCTCGGAATTTGCAGTTGTTCGAGAAGGGAGCCAACTCTGCTTGCCTTAAAGAAAGAACAGTTAACATCGCGAAATTAGCTCGTGATCTCATAAATATATTTCACTGGAATAAAGTAACTGTGCATTATTTCATGTTATGCCATTTTTAATGCAAAAGACAATAACATGATTTGTGGTGTTTTCCTTAATCACTGTTTTACTGTTGAGAGATAATAATTATTGAAATCTGTATGATTTGACACAAGGCATCGTGACACGCCCTTAAAGAGATGTCGTGTCAAAAGTTCACAAATACAGTATCACGAGTGTCCACCATTGGCGTTAATTCAGGATTGACAACGACGCTAAGCGATTGAAGAACGCTTGGGAAATGTTGTTTCACCAATTCACCGAACATGTGGACGCACATTATTTTGCTGAAGCGTGAAGTTACGTGTCTGTCCTTGAATGAACGGCTGCACGTGAGGCCCAATGATCTCAACCCTGTATTGCAGACCTGTCAGATTGTCATTGACAATGACAAGTTGTGTCCGGCCATGAAATGTGATCCGGCCATGAAATGTGACCCCCATATCATAACGCTAGCGCTACCAAACTGTCGACGTTGAACAACGCACGCACCAGCATACCATTCACCTCGCCGTCTTTACATCCTTGACCTGTGATCTGCGCTGTCCAAATGAAATTTCGACTCGGCAGTGAACAAAACACAAATTCCAATCTTGTCTCTTGTACCGTACATGCTGTCTGTACCAGGCAAGACGTGCCTGTCGGTGGCGTTGGAGTAAAACTGGACGTATTGCAGGACGTCGGGGTCGGATGCTGTGCTCCCTCAGTCGGTTCCGTACAGTCCTGGAACTGATTGGACGTAAGCCAGGAATGGTCCGACGTCATCAACTGGCAGTCCGGAATCGATTCCGTAGATGGGCCAGTTGAATGCTGACGTGACGTTACGCCTGGAAAGCCGGTCCGAGGCAAATCTCTCGTGTTCCCATTATGTTGAAAACGTCTCCATAGAGATGAGGTCGTGTTTCAAAGGCCACTTTAATGTCTGACCACTTCATATAGGGTCATTCCAGTCTCCAGCATACCTACGGCGATGAGACGATGATTTCCTGTATGCCGTGCTATGACCATACGCGTAGTTTAGACTGAACAGTCGGAGGTAAGAGAATAATCAACCGTTCCCCAAGTTTTCAATATCAAGAGTGAACTTCAGGTGTCAAAAGGCATGCAAAAAGTAAGTTCATTGTGCATAAAGTGCACGTGCCACGCGCGATACGTGACATCAAATTTCATGCAAAGTGCTTTACTTAGGGTTTATTTAGGGTTATTTTTTTATAACTTATAAACTTGATTTCTGTAGGTATATAAGCGATAAATATATAAAAAATGAGTCCAGATATTTCTTCTTGCCCAAACTCCTTTATCTGCACAAGATCTTTTCGCCGCTCAACGGCTCTTCAGGACCCCGTGTCACAAAGCTCTCGTAAGCCTACGATCCAGTAACTTTCCTCGTAGCATTCCTACCTCCTATACTGTTACACTGGCTTACGATAGTCGTAGCGCTACGTGAGCTTTGTGAAACGGGTCATTGCTGTACAAGGAAAACTAAGTGTCGTCACAGGCGACGCATAACGGTATGTCGGCATCAAGCGTATGAGTGAGTGAGTGAGTTTTACGCCGCACTCAGCAATATTCCAGCTATATGGCGGCGGTCTGTAAATGTTAATCAGTGATTAACAGCAGAGCATCGATCTGCGCAATTGGGAACCGATGACATGTGTCAAGCAAGTCAGCGAGCCTGACCACCCGATCCCGTTAGTCGCCTCTTACAACAAGCATGGGTTAATGAAGATCAATTCTAACCCGGACCTTCACGCGTCAGCAAGCGTATGACGTTACAATAGTGACAATAGCGGGAGACGTAAAACGTAGTCATACTAAGGTTACGTTTGCAAGGACAGTAAGGTTAGGAGGCACATCGCCATCCGTTTTGAGCAGATAGTCACTGACAAATAGGATGGTGCTGTGTTCACACAGTTCTATGTATGGTGAGTAACTGGAACTGTGACGAGCAACAGAAAGCCAGTGTAGGTCTCTGAGCCTGGGAGTGATGTGTTTTGATGTGTTTTGATTCCGTGCACCGTGTGATGATTCTTACTACCGGGGAGGTTACATTGGTCTGCAGTAAACGATCCCACAGGCGAAATAGGTGCTCTAATAAACAGTTTCCAGGCAAAACCGAATGACAAAATTACACACAACGTTTGCTTTTCATAGTGATCGATACTGTATGCTTTTCCGCTTATTTGCACGTGCATGTTTTCTTGGTGACGTTTTGGCGAATATTTCTTCAAACGTATCTAAAACAACTGAAAAAGTTAAAATTGCCGCGTTTTGGCGCTGAAGCTGTTTACAACCACACAAAGATGACGTTTTGGAAAGAAACAGTATATTTGTATTCTTTCTGCCGCAGTTTCATGAGTCCAATATTCTCAAAATCACCTATGCGTTTCCTTTTTTGAAGAGTGTAGTTGCATCTCATTCAGAGGAGATTGTGGAGCCAACTTGTATCAGGGGATATATCGCCAGATCTAAGACGACAGTGTGGCTTGGATGATGTAATGGATGAAATTACTCTCAGTGAAAGGCGAGATTACAAAGTTATTGGATCTCGGGGTGGTAGTCGTAAAGCAAGACTGCTTACATCTGTCATGCCGGCTATACTATCACGGGTATAGTTGCGACAACCATGATCATTTCAGTGGCGACTCAGGCATTTTAAAACACGACCAAAGCTTTCCAGCAGAATTAAGGAAGCAACAGATTAAATACGGTGCCTTAGATGACTGGCCCGATCGGGTCTTCCGGGTGTTGTTTGTTTGGTGCTTGATCATTTATGCCATAAAACGAGAGCAAGCAGAAAATACAATTTGTTGTAAAATATATCTATTTCCCTAACGTTATTCCAAATTATTCAAGTAAAACAAATCTATTTCCCAAACGTTATTCCAAATTATGCAAGTAAAACAAATCTTTTTCTCAAACGTTATGACCGCCTCCGTGGTGTAGTGGTTAGAGCGTCACCCCGGAGAGCGGAAGGTCGCGGATTCGATCCCCGACCGCGTTATACCAACAGACGTTAAAATATGGTACTTGTTGGTCTCTGTCTGGCGCTCGGCATTAATGGGTACAACAAGGACTGGTCGACTCGGAGTCAGTATAATGTGTCTGAGTGGGGTATTCATGCTTCACTGCGGCATGGTATCTCAGTGGGCTAGCACTATAAAACCAGCTTCAGTCTGGGCTAGTACAAGCAGCCGCACATACATACGCATGCACATC